AAGGAATTGACAAGATTTTATCCAAAATCCAATAATTAATTGCACACTCATTTTATACACCCTGTAGCTATCCTGTTCAACCCAATAATGCTAAAGACAATTGAGTGACTTTAGTTACGCGTACACCTACAATCATCGATCAATAATCAAGAATAATGATACACATACATACTAATTTTGCTGTTAAAAGTTTGACTGATTTTTTATTCACATAGTCAAAATAAATTAAATTTGATCAATATTTATAATTTATACAAAATAAATAAGTTTGCATATATATGAGATCTTATCAATTCGCCTCAATGTAACTAATTTGTATACATTTCTCAACTTTCTCTAATTTTCATTACTTATACATTGTCAAAAGTATAAATGGTAAAATAAATAAATAAATAAATAAAATAAAATATAATAAAAAGGATTGAAAACCGCACAAAGGCAAAGTGAATGGTATTTTAAGAAACAAAGGCATTTTACTATTCCGTATTAATAAAACTCATGAACAAATTGATGATTAAATTATACATATATTAAACAATAACATTTGAATTAAATACTATCTTCATTTATGAAAATTATGCTCACTCACAAACTATGTTTTTATTGAGATATATCATATATTACATTTCGGGAAGATATTGATTAGTAAAGATTATCTTTTGTATTATAGTTAACTAGGCGTTCTCTCTCAGGTTGGCTCGTGTTTCTTGGCAAGTCTCCTATTTCATGGGAAACGAAAAAGCTACCTACAGTTTCTCTCTGAACGGCTGAGGCCGAATATAGGTCCACGACAGGAGTAACTTGTGTCTAGAGCTGTCAATTCGGGTAAACGTGTCGGATTTGGGTCGGGTAAAAGTAGGCCGGGTCAACTCGAGTTGGGTCAATTCGGATTAATTCCATAACCTATGCGGGTCGGGTTTGGGTTGGGTACGGTCATGCTTGAGTCGGGTCACGTCGGGTCATACTTCTTATCGGGTTTGGGTCGGGTTTAGTTTAGGTTACATTAGGATCGGGTGAACAATAGGTCGGGTTTAATTCAGGTTAAAACGGGTAAGGGTAATTCGCGGGTTTGAATCGGGTTCAATTCAAATCAATAATTTGCGGGTTAGAATCAGGTCGGGTCATTTTTGGGTTTGAGTCGGGTTCGGTTTAAGTCAATAATTTGCGGAGTATAATCAGGTCGGGTCATTCTCGGGTTCGATTCAAGTCAATAATTTGCGGGTTATAATCAGATTGGGTCATTTCCAAGTTGGGTCATTCTCGAATTCAAGTCGGGTTATGTTCAAATCAATAATTTGCAAGTTACAATCAGGTCAGGTCATTTCCAAGTCAGGTCATACTCGAGTTCAACTAACTATATATAAATGGATAATTATCATTTTTATCAAGCTAATTATTTCCTTTGACTATAATATATATGGAAATATACTAGGAAACTATAGTCTATAATTTAGGAAGATAATTATGTCCTTTGACCATTTAACAAATATATACTATATTTAACTTTTAAATTTGAGGATGATGCTCCTTTCTGATCTTTTGATGGTCTGGACTGACTTGGTCTCCCTAGATAAAATGCTTTGATCAACAATAATAAGGCGGTCAAAATTGCATTTAAGGTGATTTGGAATCAGGTCAAGAACAATTTGGGTTGAATTTAGGTCGGTTCAATCACAAGTTGTGTTAATTTCAAGTCGGGTTAGTAACTGATAAGGTTGAATTTTTTAGTCTGGTAAGTAATAGGTCTGGTAAAATTCAGGTTTGGTCAATAACAAGTCAGGTTCGTTGAATTTGGGTAAGGTCAATACCAATTCAAGTCGGGTTTGTAACAGATTGCGTTAAATTCGGGTCGGGTTAAATTTAGTTTACGTTCGTAACAAGTCGGGTTAAATTCGGGTTTTGAGAGGTTAAAACGGGTTTGGGTCAATTTCGGTTCAAGTCAGGTTCGATGCAAGTTAATTAAATTGGCAGTTGTAAACTAGTAAATCGGTGCAAGTTGTAAACCGGTAAATTGGCTGTTTAAAGGCAAATTGGATGTTTCCACCCACCCAATTGGACAACCAGAGGTTATTAAGGACCATGATAAACATTTCGGCAATTTTTATTTCGGGCGAAGAAAGTCACAAAATTTAAAAATTGAAGGCTAATATCCACCTTTTTGAGAAATTTTGGAGTCTTCAGAGCCCGGTGTCTAAAAGTCATGAAATTCTAAAGAATACATATCGGGGTCATATAATGTCGTTTGGAACTATATATAATCATTACTTGTTGTCATAAATGTTCGTGGTAAGCTTGAGTTAATGAAATCTGTGCAAGTAAAAATAGATAAATTGATCGTTTAAAGACAAATTGGATGGTTCCACCCACCCAATTGGACTCCAGGAGGGTATTAGGGATCATGGTAAATATTTCGAAATTTTTTATTTCTGGGCGAAAAAAAAGTTAAAAAAATTCCAAAATTGAAGGCTAAATATCCACGCTTTTTGAGAAATTTTGGAGATTTTGAGGCCCAATGTCAAAAAGTCTTGAAATTCTAGGTAATATATCTCGGTGGCATATAATATCGTTTGGAACCATATGTAATCATTATTTGTTGTCATAAATATTCGTGGTAGGCTTGAGTTAATGAAATCGATGCAAGTTGTAAACCGGTAAATTAGTCGTTTAAAGGCAAATTGGATGGTTCCACCCACCCAATGGGACTCCTGGAAAGTATTCGGGACCATGGTAAACATTTCAGCAATTTTTATTTTCGGGCGAAAAAAAGTCAAAATTTTCAAAATTGAAGGCTAATATCCACGATTTTTAAGAAATTTTTTAGGATTCGAAGCCCGGTGTCGAAAAGTCTTGAAATTATAGGGGATACATAGAGATGATCAAAACAAGCCCGACCCGATTTTGGGCGGGTTTTGGGCAGCATTTTCCGGCTCGACCCGAATTTTTTATTTTTTTGGGCGGGCTTGGGAATGCATTTTTAAGCTATTTTAGTTCTTTTTTTTTGCCCGGCCCGAAAATGGCCCGAAAATCCCGTGCGGCCCGTCCATTTTGGGCGGGTTTGGCCTGGGTATGAAAATTTTGGCCCGAAGCTAGGCCCAACCCGAGATTTGGGCTGATATTTTTATGCCTTGGCCCGGCCTGAACTTGGCCCGGCCCGCCCATTGATCAGGTCTAGGGATACATCTTGAGGTCATATAATGCCGTTTGGAACCATATATGATCATTATTTGTTGTCATAAATGTTCGTGGTAGGCTTGAGTTAATGAAATCCATGCAAGTTATAAATCGGTCAAAATTCAGATCAATGCTTCTAGGAATTTCAGCATTTTCTCTGTCACTTTGCTTATAAGGAAAGATATTTTCTTTGAAACTTACATCTCTAGATACAAATATCTGCTTTGAATCTAGATCAAATACTTTGTATCCCTTTTGATCACTTGGATACCCAATCAGAACATATCTAGTTGCCTTAGCAATAAATTTATCCCCTTTCCTATGCCTATTACTAGCATAGCATAAGCACCCTATCACTTTCAGATGCTCATATCTTGCTTTTCTCTTCATCAATCTCTCAAAGGGTATCTCCCATTTCAATACTGCACTAGGCAACAAGTTGATGATATGAGTTGCTGCTAGAACACACTCTCCCCACATATTCTTAGGTAAGCCAGCATTTAGTCTGATTGCCCTGGCTGTCTCTATCAAATGTCTATGTTTTATTTCAACTCTCCCATTATGCTGAGGGTTCCCTGCAACACTCCTTTGATGCAAAATTCCCTTTTCTTTCATTATTGTGGAGCACTATGACTGAAATATTTCAGTTCCATTGTCACTTCTTATCACTTTAATAGAAGTATTAAAATGATTCTGCACATATGCAATGAACATTTACAGCACCTGTTTTACCTGTTCCTTATTTGATACCAAATAATTCCAAGTCACTCTTGAATAATCATCCAAGATTGTGAGGAAATAACTTGCCCCTGTGACATTCTTAGTTCTATATGGTCCCCACAAATCCATATGAACTAAATCAAAGACAACATTTGCTATTGAAGAACTTGAATTAAAAGGTAATTTGTGGTGTTTTGCCAAACAGCATGTATCGCAAAAATATTCAGAAACCCCATTACAATCACAAATGCTTAAATGTTTCATCTTGGATAAAGAAGTATGTCCTAATCTTGCATGTAATAAATCTAAATTTCTTCTAGATTTACTACTCAAAGCTTTCTTCTTACAAGCCATTACATTAGCCTTATTCTCCTCCTTCTCTGCTCCATTTCTTCTTACTTCAGTTCTCTCGGAATTTTTGTCCAGCTTCAGCCTATAAAGACCTCCACTCTTCTCTCCATATCCAACTACCTCTCTACTAGAAGGGTCCTGAAATAGACATCCATAATCAGTAAATATCACCCTCAATTTTGTTTGCTCCATCAACTTACTCACTGACAGTAAATTATGCTTGAACTCAGGTATATACAACATATTTCTAAGAATTATATGTTCATTCAGTTTCACAGTTCCCATTTCTTTCACATTTCTAATTGTTCCATCAGGCATTCCAACATTAACATGCTTTCTTAAAATTCTTATGTCACAAAATAGTTTCTTATCACTAGCCATGTGATCAGATGCTCCTGAGTCTATCAACCAACCAATTTTATCCACATTCTCATAAAGTGCACAAGCATTTGAGGTTGAGACCATACCTGCAAAATTGCTCATACTTACTGCATTACTTGAACTGCTTGCCTGACCTTGCTGTTTCTGATTCATCACCTTCATTACTTGCTGCACCACTGCATTCAGCATCTCAGAATCTGGTTTCTCACCATTGCTAAACTGTCCTTGTTCACATGATTCAAGAGGATCATCTTCAATACACTGTCCTGTTCCAGACACATTTGCAGCATATTTCACTCCTGTCTTTCCCTTTGGATTGTTCTTAAACCAATCTGGATACCCATAAATCTTGAAGCATCCATCTATTGTATGTCCCTTCATTTTGCAGTTTTCACACCATTTCTTTTCTTTTTCTTCCTTGGTCTCTCTTCTCCGATAATACCATTCTGATAATTATTCTTGTAATTTTGTCTGTTGTTCAGCTTATTTCCATGGAATGGCTTAGCAGCTAGTAAAGCACTTGCCTCTGATCCTACCTCATCCAATCCTGATATTTCTTTCTGCTTTTCAACTTGTAAAACCATCTGATGTGCCCTATTAACACTAGGCAATGGATCCATGCCTATGATGTTTTCTTTCTGGTTATCATAACCATCATTCAATCCCATCAGAAAATCCATCACTTTCTTCTTTTCTTTTCTTTCCAACAACTTCTTCATTACATTACATGTACATTTATTAAAAATACCACATGTGCATTCAGGCATTCCCTCCAGACTATTAAGTTGATCCCATCTAGCCTTAAGCTTCCCAAAATATTCTGAAACACTCATGTTGTTCTGTTTCAACCCATTCAATTCTTTCCTAAGCATATAGATCTGAGGAGCGTTTGACTGCCCAAATCTCTCAGCTAATTCAGTCCAAAACTCTCTAGCTGAGTTCACTATCAACATTTGTTCAGCAATTTGTGGTGTTACACTAGCAGATAACCAACATCTAATCATGCAATCATTCCTTATCCACTGATTATAATCATCAGAAGAAACATTTAATTTAGGTATCTTACCCTCGATGAATCCAAGTTTGTTTTTCGCCCCTAGAGCCATCCTCACGCTTCTGCTCCAGTTGACATAGTTCTTTCCATTGAAGACAATCGTTCCCAATGGTGTGTTCGAGTTATCTGAGTTTCCTAGATAATAAGGATCAGCATAAGGAATAACTTGCTTACCCTCCATTATGTGTTTCTATTTCAGGAATTTAAATATTAAGGTCAAAGATTAAAACTTTGATATCCGGTTTAGTGTTTAGCTAAAGATTCAAACTTTCTATTTCAGAAAGCTTCGATTTTGTTTAATCTCACAACCTAGTGAGCTCTGATACCATGAAGAAAATAAGAGTATATTTGGTTTTGTGTGTTCAGCAAGAATGTTTTGTTAGAGAATGGAGATGGAAGAATAATTTCAGGGGCTCTCAACCCTAGAAAGATCTGTTTCTCATTAATATATACACACTTTGATCACTACAAGACAAAGTTACAGCTTATGACTGTTGTCAAGGAGAGAAACAGACAAAAATAAAACTACTCCTGCACTAAGTATAGCTATACACATACTATACAAATATTATACATGTTTCTACAATATCATTGGACATCTTAAATATATTAGGATTGAGTTTTACTTTAACATATCATCCTTTACTTTAACATGAAAATCACCCTGTTGATTGAGTTTTATACTTTTATATTAGGATTTGTTGATAATTACCACCTACAATTGTGCCATTTTAGCAATTACCACATACATATTTTTTTATTTATTTTTTAACCATCAACTATTTTTTAAAATATCAAAACTTCCCACCTACTTGGCTCTCAACTCAAATGTGACGTCATATGGGGCCTACTAATTACCTTTTTCTTTCCTTTCTTCCTTTCTCGCCCGGTTTCTCATTCCCCTATATTGCACTCCTCTCAAAAGCGAGGAAAAACTTCAAATTAAATTATATATTGGATAGAATACGAGCAATTATGAGAATACGAGTAAGATGATCAGATTAGTGATTATTGGATAGATGACAATAAGATGAAGAGGAAGCCTAACTTTTAACATCTAAACAACAAAATACTACTTAAGACAACTGGGCATAGTTTTTCTAATGCAACACAAGTGAATATATATCTCTTTGGGCTGATTATATCCGAGATATTACTTGGGCTTTGGTGGATTTATTTTTGGGCTAACCCATGTAAAACTAACCCATATATGTTAATAAAATTGTGCAGAGAAGTCAACAATGAATTTTAAGAATAGTAGGAGACAAACTCTTCAAATATGTCTCACTAAGCTCAGGACTTGAAGAACATGACATAAAGGAGGGTTTAGGAGGTGATGAGATAGAGTACTTGTTGAAGATCAATTACTATCCTCCTTGCCCTCGTCCAGATTTAGTCTTTGGTGTTCCGGCTCACATTGACATGAGCGCCAAACTTACATCGTCATGGTAAATATGTCAATATCTCATGAAAAAATTTTCCTCTATAATTGCTTATGACATCATTTTTCCCATATATTTTTCCTTCCAAATTCAATATAGTAGGGGAAAAATTCTTAATAAATAAATATAAATAAAAACATCAATTAACCACAACTTTTTTTTTCTGAAGCAATTAACCAAAAACTTATTAGTGATATTTCTCTTTCTTAAAACCCTCATTTTGTGAATTAATTATTTTACATTATTTAAAAAAAAAAATTATTTTACATTCTTTATTAAATTTTTTTTAATTCTAAATCATGCATTGCACGAGTAATAATCTAGTTCTCTACTAAGACAAGTCTTGATAAATACCATAGAATTCAATACATGTTACTAGTACTCCACAACAAAATTACAAATTACAATTTTTCAAAAAAGAATTGTTCAACGGTCATTATGAATTTATAATAAAACTTGTAAAATGCTCAAAGAGTATGGAATTTATTTTGTTTTAAATTTTAAAAACTTTTTATTATGAGTATTTTTTTTTTTTGGACAAAGGAGGTTGGAATTTTGACGGCAATTAATAATAATAATAATAATAATTGGCCACAAAGACTTATTCTTTGACGTATTAATTATACTATACATAGCGTGCTACACAATTCCTCAAATAGTCTAATAAAGTGGATTAATAGCTTGAAAAATATATAGGACATGCCAAATAATGTCAATATTTTTATCTAATTTTATACTCCATCCGTTCAAAAAAGAACGACCCATTTGGCCAAAACTTTGTCCCAAAAAGAATGACCCATTTGCATTAAAACACCACCAATTTGCAACAATATTTGTGCAAAATTAGTTTCCCCATATAAAAATTTCATTTTCCATGTTATTTTATTACTTTCTCTCTCTATTTTTTTACAAACCCCATTTAAATTTTTCTTTCCAATATATTTTTACTTCTTTTTACTTAATTTTCTTAATACCCGCGTAATTAACCCAAATGGGTCATTCTTTTTGGGACGGAGGGAGTAGTACATAAATATTTTCTTGGTAGTTGCCACTAAGATAGCGAAGACTTCCATGGCCTAGAGTTGGTGAGTCTTTCAGATTTAATACGGGTATAGAATTAAAAGAAAACCAATTGACTTGACTCTTTGCTGCAAAAATTACAAGGTCAATGCAATGGTGATCAGTCAACTTGTCGTGTCATCAATGTGTTTTCGTTATCTTGGAATTGAAGGAGAGGGCATTTGACAAGGCGTGTTAAATACCACCATCTAAAATATTCAAAACTGCCAAATTTTAGTGTGAATGGACAATCATGCCCTCATTACTTTACCACTATCTTCCCTCTTGCCATTAATCACTAACACCTTGACACCACCACCCTAATTACGACTAACACCACCGGCAACGACCACCACCACCCTGGTGATGACCCACCACATCCCCATCAAAGACGACCCATCACCTGGTTGTCTTTGACAGGAAGGTGGTGGTTTTTTTTTCCTGATAGTTGTATCAACTGGAGCCCAAAATCGGTTATCAGGCACGTAACCGGTTTTGGCTCTGTTTACCATGGAATCGGTTAAGGTGCACGGTAATCGGATCCGAAAACCAAATCGGAGCCAAAAACCGGTTACCGTGCGTGGTAACCGGTTTTGGGCTCCGGTTATCGCGGTTGCCTAAACAAAAAAAAATAAATAAATAAAAATAAAAACCATTACCTTCCCAGCTACGAGGGAAGGTGGTGGTGGTCAACGCCGGTCGGAAGGGGTTGTGGGTCGCCGAGATGATAAAGGGGTGGTGAAGTAGTAAGGGTACAATTGTCCATTCACGTCAAATATTGACGGTGATGATCATTTTTGTTAGCAGTGTACGTTTAGCTATTCACTTTGAGAATATATTTGTACAAAGGAAAGTATAGTACTTTATTTTTTTAATTTCTTATGCCAATTTACCTCATTACTCGTCATTCAAACAATGCAAAAAAAAAAAAAAAAAAAAAAAAGGGGGGGGGGGGGTTTACTTATTAACCGTTGTTAATAAAAGGGATGGAACGGTATGAGTGGCTTTTAGGCCATTTAATACTTTATATTGACTATTAATGACAAGCTTTCATTCTTACCTTCGATTTTCATATAGTTATTATATCATTCTGGATGCATAGTACGAAGTATATATGTGTTTCGAAAATAAACAAGAGAATAATAGGATAACTCATGCTATAGAAAATACTTTTTGTAGGATTATCATAGTAATTTATTTTGTGCAGTGTGTGATTTCTATAGGCGTGGGTACCTTATATTGTACACATGTTTTCATGGAAAAATCCTATTATACAAATGTAAAAAACATACAGATGTAGTGAAAATGACATACTCTTAAAATATAATGAGCATAAACCTAAAGTAAAAAGAACATATTTACACTAAAAAAGAGTGAAAAGAATATATCACCATGTTCTTTTTGATTGTCAGTGTAATATACTTTTAGGAAAAATTGCCGGGAATAATCCGACCTTTGGCTTATCCGCCCAAAATAATCCCACCTTTCGATTATTTTTAAATAATCCGACCTTTATACCTAATCCGCTCTCAATAGTCCCAACTGGTTAACTAACTTGTTATAACAAGTTACCTACTACGTGTCGGCTTGCGATTGGTCGATAAATTTTTAAAAAAAAATAAAAAAAAAAGTTTAATTTTTTTAAGAAAAAAATTTCAAAAAATTAATTAATTATTTTGAAAAAGCCCCCACCAACCCTAGCCACCCCTCACCACTGCCGCTTGTTCCCGCCGGCCAGATGCCGGACTCCCCTTCCCCGCAGCGTCGACAACCCAAACCCCCTCCCCTAGTGCTGACGCCTCCTCACCCCTTCCCCTGAACCACCAACCTCCATCCCACCGCCATGAAAACCCAATAGAACCAGCCCCAACCTCGAAAACCCCTTCTCCGTCCAATTCCCGGCCCCTTCCCATTCCCTAAAACCCCAGTTCCCGGCCTCGAAAATCCCTGTTCCGATATCGGCAAATATCCCCTTCCCCTGTTCTGATTCCGGTCTCCCTCCCCTTTCCCCGGCTCGAGTTCGACCTCCCTTGCATTCCCCCGCCACGATTTCGGCAGCCCCTCACTTTCACTTCCTCAATTTCGGTCGCCCAAACCACCCACCATAGCGACGGCAACGACGCAAGCTTCGATCTGTTGGTTGCTGCAATTCGACAAGTATCTGTGGTGGCTGGGGCTGGTGGAGGTGGTGGTTGGCTGGTTGGCGCTGTTGTTTTTTTTTTTTTCAATTTTTGTTTAATTTAAAATTTTAGACAAATTATATGTTGACACGTGTACTTTTAACCCAAAAAAATAATAATTACCTTTTTAACCGGTCCCTGGTCACTTAGGACCATTGGGAGCGGATTAGGTATAAAGGTCGGATTATTTAAAAATAATCGAAAGGTGGGATTATTTTAGGCGGATGAGCCAAAGGTCGGATTATTCCCGACAATTTTTCCATACTTTTATTTGTGACATAATGTTCATTGCTTATTGTAAAATGTTTTTTGAATTTTGTCTTAAAATTATAGTGGATATATATATCAATAATGTTCATTACATAAGTATTTATCTTGTTCTTTATTAATATACATATGTTCTTTAGATACACAAAAAAAATATAGCTATGTGTTCTTTAAAAAATAGCTATATGCTCCTTACAAAACAGTTACATATTCTTTTCACATTATTTGTCTATACTAAGCAAGGTAAAAACTGCCATGTACCTTAAATTTTTCATATTTTGTGTATAGTGGTGTTGTATATGGTAAAATAAGAAATTTTCTATTATCCACTTCATACTTCTTTGACTAGACACAATATTTTAATCTACTAATAGTTTAAATTATAATAGAGTTCAAGTACACTCTACTAGTACAAGTAGTTTGTTTATAAGTGGCAACAACATTCAATAAATTTGCCATAACTCCTTCCCCATTTCATTGAAACAAAAACATTGACTTTCCAATAGTATACTCTAATTGAAAGTCATGGCTGAGGTAGGAAGAGTGCAATCCATGGCATCAAACACAATATCCGAAGACACCATCCCATCAAATTTCATATGGCCAGAAACAGATCAACCTGCTATCACAACCATCCAAGATAATAATTTCGAAATCCCGGTGATCGAGCTCAACGATACAGATGAAGATAGGCTAGTCAAGTTGATTGCAAAAGCAAGTAGCGAAACCGGTTTATTTCAAATCATAAACCATGCAATACCAAGTGAAGTTATTGAGAAATTGCAGAAAGTTGGGAAGGAGTTTTTTGAGCTGCCACAACAAGAGAAGGAGAAGTATGGGAAACTTCCTGGGTCAATTGAAGGATATGGGACTAGCCTTCAGAAAGAAGATGAAGGAAAAACAGGGGTGAAAAAACAGGGTTGGGTTGATCATATTTTTCATAGGATTTGGCCTCAATCTGCTATTAACCTCAGATTTTGGCCCAAGATTCCTGCATCTTATCAGTAAGTTTTTATTTTTAATTTTATTATTTATTATTTGTTTTATTTCTAATTTTAATTACTCTTCTTATTCTGTAATAATTGACAGAGTATCAATACCATAAATCATCATTGTTAAAATTTTGAAACTTTGATAAATTCAACACTATTTTACTTCTTAATATTTTACTTTATGTAATGTCTAAAATAGATGGTCAAAGTTCTAAAAAAAATCGCAATTATTTTATAATATTGTTTTGTTCCTTGACCATCTTGACCATAGACCATGCTCAAGTTGATATATTTATTTATTTATTTGGTAACCATTTAAAATAAATGCAATTGACTATAATGTACAAAATAAATTAAAATTGAAATGGGTCAAATAAAAAATCTGAATTGGATCAAAAAACAAACCAAATGTCTAAAAGATATGCATATGACCAAAACAAAGTCAACAAATATTAAGGTAAGGTTGAAATTCTTGTAAACCTATTTTGTAAAATAATAATATAATATCATTGGACATCTAGCTTACATATCTTATTAACTGTAACGTTGTAATGTTGATAAACATGAAAATCACCCTATTCATTGAGTTTTATATTATCCTACAAAAAAGATTAGACAACAATTTCATGTATAACGGTCCAAATTGCTACCAACTAGACCATAAAACTATTTAAATGTGCAGGGAAGCCAATGAAGAGTATGCTAAGTATTTGAGAGTTGTAGGAGACAAGCTCTTCAAATGTCTCTCACTAGGACTAGGACTTGAAGGCCATGAACTAAAAGAAGGTTTAGGAGGTGATAAGTTAGAGTACTTGATGAAGATCAATTACTACCCTCCTTGTCCTCGTCCTGATCTAGCCCTTGGTGTTCCGGCTCACACGGACATGAGCGCCATCACATTGCTCATCCCTAACGGTGTTCCGGGCCTTCAAGTTCGTAGGGATGGTGGTTGGTGTGACGTGAAATATATTCCTAATGCTATAATTATCCATATTGGTGATCAGATCGAGGTTTGTCTTGACGACTTTCTTGTATACTTCCTCTGTTTTCACCTTTTTTTAATAGAATCTATCGTTATAATTTGACTTTTAATACGTGTGAAGTTGATTTTAGTTTACTTCATATATATTAGTCCATACCATTTTTTTATATATATAATAATGCAAGGTTGTGCTGCATAAATACTTTGGTTGGCAGATCATGAGCAATGGAAAATACAAGGCTGTTTTGCATAGAACAACCGTGACCAAAGACAGAACTAGAATGTCATGGCCAGTGTTCTTGGAGCCGCCGTTGGAGCATACCGTCGGACCGATTCCTAAGCTCGTCAATGACGAAAATCCGGCCAAATATAAGACTAAGAAGTATCGAGACTACACTTATTGCAAGTTCAATAATAAACCACAGTAGTAAATTAAACCAAGCAATGTTATTAGTCCATGAATAATTGTGCACTTTGTAGCACAAGGGATGTAGCTATGCAACTTTGTATTCTAGTTTAATCTATTGAAGGTCAATGTATGTTGTATTTTCTCTTTTAGAATAAGTGTTACAGCTGAACAATTTACAAGTTACAGAATAATTTTCTTCTTATAAAAGTGATTTGTGTACTAGAGTGTACAATCTAATAATCAATCAATAATAATGTAGTTTTATTTTTAAGAACTTGAGATGGCTTTTATAAATGGGGGGTTAGAATTGCCATAAAGAGGGGGAAAGCAACGGTGGACGAGTAGTGGTGTATATAGAGATGTCAATTCGAATGTTCGGATCAGGTCTGATGAGGTCAGGTTGGGTCGAATCTATTTTTAATGTTGAGTCATATCGATCAATTTATTGCGTCTACGTGAATTGAAATCAAATCGGATATTTTTTGGGTCGGTTTTGGATCAGGTCTAGTCGGGTGTGGTTTTAATGACTCTAGATGTATGTATGTAAGATAATTAAGTCGGGTGTATATAAATAAAAGTGATTTTGGTTTGGAGAACCTTTACCAAAAAAAAAAAGGGACTTCGGAATGAGTTTTTTTTTTTTATTTATTTATTTATTGTGTACAACTTTGGAATGAGTTTTATTGATAAAAATATTGATAAATTAGGTGGCATTTTACATTTCACCATAGTACATGCATGAGACTATCTCATATTCTCATTATAAAAATTGTCTATTAAGGAAGAAGCTTAGTTGGTGGATTAAAATGTCTATTGTGAATTTTCTTTGATATAAAACATAATCAACTAACATCAAATGAATCTCATTAATCTCAATCAAATTATGGTATAAACATTTATGAAATACAAAACAAAGAGAAATAAAGTTAAAGATATTTAAGCCACAATCACATAACAATTACGAATCTGTCAAAATCCAAAGAAACAAATTAAAGACATTGATCAAAGATGATTAAGTTATCGAAAACACACTTTTTTAATGAAATATTTGCAAGAGAATGCAACTCTTTAAGCGGCTTATTGGATAAAGATATTTGTAATCTTTAGTTGAATGATGCAAGTGATTAAGTGCAGGTGCATCCATCTCCACAACACACGTCTCCACATCTGATTGTAGGCTTCCATATAAACGAGCAGCACCGACAACCTTGAAGAAAAAATAAACGAATTGAACATATTAATATCATATTTAGGCTAATTCGGATTCGGGATCAGTTTTGGGTGGTTAGGTTTCAGTCCTCTTCCGATTGTTGTTGTCGAGGATCGAACATGAGTTTTTCCTACCAAGTATAGTCTCAATCACCACTACACCAACAGCCAACTAGTTATACATACTACTATGTAGGTGTATGGATCAATCAATGAAATAAACATATAATTAAGGCTATTCTTTTTATTTATTTATATTTAATTACCATCTCAACTCTATATTAATTTATATGAGTAAGATTAGTTTACATGAACAAGATGGAGTAACTAGTTGTACCATAGACATGATCTAATATAGATCTAAGAAGTTGCACGATTTTGTCTCCGCTAAAAGAAGAAAAAAAATAAACATAACATACAAGTTTATCAAGGTGATAAAATTGAAATACAAAATAGGCGACACATGTTAATTTCTAACATGGAATTTATAAATAACAATCAATTAATCCTTTAATCAACAAAATTAATGAAGTACTTTCACCGGAAGAAATTCAAGTTTATCACCGTGATAAACATGAAAGTTGCAATGCAAATCATGTGGCAAACTTATAAGCATATATCGATCATCAATGTAGCATTATTATTATCCTTGTCACAAAAAAAAAAAAAAAAAAAAAAAAAGTAGCACTATTGTGCCATTGATCAGTGTTTACCGTTAAAACCACGAATGTAACTAACGTTTCTACTATAAATCTGCTAAATATGTTAGTGGTTTTATGATTTATCCAAGATATTATAAGTCAAATGTGCATTGATTTTGTATACAAGTATATGGTTTATTAAGGAGATAAATTGGGGTTTATTCCTTTTATTATTGTAATGAATCATACAAAAATAGGTAAAATTATGATGGAAAAATCACCTTGAGGATAATAGACCATCTCCTTGGTATGAGATTGAGGATTAAAATCGGCAATTGGGGTCTTTGGATCCCTTCTTGCTGCAGCAGCAATGACGGACATCAGTAAAAGACAACTTAGTACCATAACAACAGCTACAACTACGACATTTCCTCTCTTAGCCATTTCTTTCTTTTGATTTTGAAGTATTTAGCTTTGTAGTGCTTTAAAAGTATATTAAGTATGATGTTCGTATTGCATCTCATTCATTATATAGGTGACATAGGGGTAGTACAAACCGTGGTGTCTATTTTTATATACTACCTCGCTGTGTTTCATAAAGAATTGCAATATTTTGAATAGACACGCTTGCTAATGTACAATACTACTTTGAGCGAGGTTGATATTTGAAAAATATACATTAAGATAAACTCAACAATATGTTACCTACTAACATTTGTTTTCATATATTAAGCTAAAAAAAAGGGATCAAAGTGAGAAATGAGAATAATGTTAAAAATCAAAATGTTGCAAGTAATTTAAGACAGAAATAATAATACAATGAAATAATACATGAATAATAGCCAAATAAGGAAAATAACAGTTGCATAAGCGTCAACTTGCTAGGTGCCATACATACTATCCTATATACTTGTAATAATGGAGTAGTCATTTTTTGACTTTCCACCACAATGCCACGAAATCTAATCCTATTAATTCTCAACGGTTACTCATTCCATAAAATAACGTAGAGAGTGAGGAATAGCTCAAGTGATTAGAGTCCTCTTCCCCCCCCCCCATTCTAGGAGGTCCTGGGATCGATTCTCACCCCCGCCCTTGTGGCTCTTTAAACACCAAAAAATAAAAAAATAACGTACAGTATGTAGTAAACACTTTAATATCACTCTCTCCATCTTTAAATGTTGTTCTTGTTTTTAAAAAGTAAAAAATAGAAACAACTTTTAAAGACCGACTTCCAAACCTTAGCAATACTCGAAGTTTACATTTTCATCCTTATGTTTGCTCGTGTGAATTAACCATAATGGGTATAGTCTGATTTTGTGCGGAAATGCTACTCGTTCCTTGCACGGGCGGGCAAATTAATGTGCCTCAACCGTAATTTTGCCATTTCCATGGCTCTTTTGCACGGACAAGCACGTGTCCGCGAGCACGGTCGCGCTCCCATCTTCTCCAAGAAAATATCATGTATTAATAATTTTGCCTTTGTTTTTCGCTTCCAAGTTGGCTAGTTGCGAACACACTATTACTCCACTTGTGTAGAGTTCATGATCGAGAGAATAATTACGAATTGAAACTACTACAATCCAAACCAAGTTCGTTGTTTATATATTGATCTCACACAATAAATATCATCTTCTTAGTTGTTTTATTTTGTTACATTCTACTCTGTATTTCTTTTTCATGAATTGTTAATTTTAAATGCCATCTTTAATCAATGAAATTAGTGTTCTTTAAGCTTTCTTTCAAAATAAAGAAGTAAATTCCACCATATATGGATTTATAATGTGTTCATATATTGGTTAATTCCCTCAAATATCACTACTTTTCAAACAATAATAAGATGTTAAATTTAACAAAATGACTTGTCCCCCTAGTAAATATATATAAAACCACGGTACCACACATAATTACACAAGAATCATTGTATAATGTATCCTACGTAATCCTACCAATTGGTAATCAGTGGAGTAATCCTACTACTTGGTAATCAATGGAGTAAGGCTAAAAAGTAATGCTCCATTACACATGAGTAACATGCTAATAACTCTCCAGATATACGAAAAAGAGCACAATATCATCAGCACATACGATAAATTGCACTAAGAGCCTACACCACTTAAAATTGTCATCATGACATGAGGTAATTAGCATAATATGATAAGATCAACCACAATTTTAGCGAGAACAGATTTTAGAAGCTAAACACTTAAATATATTAAAGAGCTTATAATTTGCATGTCCATAAACTTTGGATAACTATTTTATTTATTTATATTTCTTTTTGCTCTTTTCATTCATTAACACTTTCTTTCCTTAAACATAAAATAAAAATAAATAAATAAATAAAATAAAAACTTTCTAGAAGTACTAATAATATCTCTACTTAAAAAAAAAGATTCGATTTTGAGATTAGGCCATACATTTGCAAATTTTCAAAAGTTTGTAAAGTTGCATCGTTGACTTTGAAACACCACCATTGTCTATTAGTACTGCCAATGGCAAGATTGACAACGCATAAGTCAATTAGTCAAAGACTTGTATCAATTGTTGGAGTTGGGGACCAATACAAAAATGCATAAAATCTTGTACTCGTAGTGATTTTAATTAGTAAACTATAGTTTACTTTTATTTCAATTAAATTCCTTAGTAATTTTCCCAGCAATTCCACGGTCTACACTTTCTAATTAATTCATACACTCATACTCCATAATTCATATTACAAAACTTGTATCATGTGTGCTTTCTAGTTTCCATTGTAAGGCCATCTTTTAATCTAGCTAAATAGCTTAATATGAAATGATTAATATTTGTTTATTTAAACCAAGGAGAACACCCTATTAAGTTAGAAACTCATGAGATCTAGTCAACAGAGTTAATAGGCAAGGTCACTTAAAAGTGGTGGGAAAATCTGAAAATGTAAGAAAAACATCACCCCCTGAAAAGTACTTGGATTATTTTTTTTTTTTTTTTTTTTTTTTTTTTTTTTTTTTTTTTTTTTTTTTTTTTTGTAAGAAGAATGAGACTCATTTGATTAGGAGATTAGAAAAATCCCTCAAATGAGTCTCATGAGACTTGATCCCTAGATCTCAGGAATACGAGGTGTGAGCAATATCACCTCAACCTCAGTTTATATCTTAAAGATACATATCAAGATTTTACTATAAACACATCATCTAACAATACGGCCCGTCAAACTTGGGAAATTTTTTAATCTACTTGTCATAGCCGTCAACCGATACAAACCTTAACAACAGCACCAAGACACTAGAAGTCTAGAACATCCATTAGTTTAAAGCACTCACAAAGTCACAAGTTCACGTGTTTCACTCAAAGAGCTAAACCAAAGACCTCTGAATTTCTAGATTTCGAGAAAAACAAACAACCACCCACCCACCCACCCACCCAACTTACCTTCAAAGCCCTTTCTATTATCTCCAAATTGCCAAATGTAAATACATGATATAATCAATTGATCAAAGAATGATACCTATTTTTGCATTAATTCTATACATTCTTCTTTTCAGTTCTAAAATCTGCTCTGCAATTGACAGTATTACACCTACACAATTCCTAAAAGACTCAGAATCAATACTTTCTAAAAATAGCATTTTCAAGCTAGGATTTTTCAGCCCTCAAAACTCTTCCAATCGTTATGTTGGAATCTGGTATAATCACCCTTCTGAAATGGAAGTTGTATGGGTAGCTAACAGGAACAATCCCCTCACTGATACTTCTGGTGTACTTAAGATATCACTCGACGGAAATCTGCAAGTCTCTGATGCAAAAAATCAGACTGTTTGGTCATCCAATGTCACTCATCCTACAGCCGGTTTTGTAGCAGCCCAACTTCAAGATTCTGGAAACCTTGTTATCCAAGGATTCCCGAACAACACGAGTCGTGGCAATGGGACGATCATATGGCAGAGTTTTCAGCATCCTGCAGACTCAGTCTTACCAAATATGAGGTTCATTCTTAACAATAATTCTGAATTCAGGAAAGTCCTGCAGGCTTGGAAAAGTCCTTCAGATCCATCAGTTGGAAGGTACTCAGTTGGTACTTAACTCTTTAGGTGTTTTTCAGATTATCATCTGGGATGGGGATCGCCGTTATTGGCGAAGTGGACCTTGGAATGGAAACATTTTCATGGGAACAAGATATCATAATACTGGTTATGGCAATATACTCATTAACACCGGGTCATTTGCACAGGAGGAAGTAGGAGGGATGCTTTCTCTGGTTTTTACAGGTGCGAATGAGACTTTGTTGCCTCGTTATGTGATAACTGATCAAGGGATATTAGCTGAAAGGTGGTGGGATGATAGCAAGAAGAACTGGGGAATTGCGTGGCATGCCCCGGAAAATATATGTGACACTTATGGTATGTGTGGAGAATTTGGAAACTGCAACCCTCAGACTAAACCTATTTGCAGCTGCTTGAAAGGGTTTGTGCCAAAGAACGAGGAGGAATGGAGGAGAGGAAATTGGAAAAATGGGTGTGTGAGAAGAAAAAAGTTGCAATGTGGGATTCAAGGGGGAAAAGAAGATGGGTTTCAGAGGTTAAAGATGATGAAAGTGCCAGATAATGCTGAATGGATTGTAGGTCTGAATCCAGATCAGTGCAGAACCACCTGCCTGGCAAACTGCTCTTGTTTGGCTTATACACATGATACCGGTACTGGATGTATGAGATGGAGCGAGAACTTGATTGACATAGAGGACCTTTCGCCTGGAGGAGTGGACCTATTCATTCGGCTTGAACAATCAGAGCTAAGTAAGTTAATCATACCTCTTTGAAATTTCGAATGCTGGACTCTTTGGGATATAATATGCTTCTCAATTCTCATCTTCCCACCTAGTAAAAAAGATCATGTTAGTATGCATATGTAAAATAATTTCCTCTGCTTTGTAGGTACTAGTAAGAGAAAAATAGCAATCATAGTTGTGTGTGTGACTTTAGGAACAGCAGTGATTGCCACTATCATGTACTTCCTGTTCAAATGGAGAGCTCGGGAAAAGGGTAAACACACATCGGATAGATATAGAAAATCTAAATCAATACCAGAGAAGAAATCTGGGAAGAAAGCAGCAACAAATTCATATGTATTCAGAGACAAAACCCAAGTTATGATTGAAGACTTACAAGTGTCAAAACTTGAAGATCTGATCATAGCAACAGACGGCTTTAGTGAGAGTAACTTGCTCGGGAAGGGTGGTTTTGGCCAAGTATTCAAGGTAAGAATGGGTTCAATTCGAACATATTCTATGTAGTCTAAAATGCAACAAAACTTAGCAGGAGATAATCTGATGTTATTTACAGGGTAAACTAGAAAATGGTCAAGAAATAGCAGTAAAAAGGCTTTCAAGAGCATCTGGGCAAGGTGTAGAAGAATTCATGAATGAAGTTGAATTGATCTCAAAACTTCAGCACCGGAATCTAGTCAAACTGCTGGGATGTTGTGTTGAAGGGGAAGAGAAAATGCTGATATATGAGTACATGCCAAATAAAAGTTTGGATGCTTTTCTATTTGGTTAGTATCACAGCAAAATATTTCCAGTCTAACATAGTCTTCAACACCTGAAACTCACAAACTGATTTTTTAACAGTGATATCTATTATATAGCATACTGTCAAAAATTTAAAAATCACAACATAATTTTAATTTTACTTCCTCCTTTTCTTTATTGTGTGGCTTGTTCTGGTACCATTTGAGCAGATCCACAGAAGCAGGAGCTTTCACAGTGGCATAAACGCTTCAACATTATACAAGGGATTTGTCGCGGTCTACTTTACCTTCATAGAGATTCCAGATTAAAAATTATTCATAGAGATCTAAAACCAAGTAACATTTTACTTGATCAAGAACTGAACCCAAAAATTTCAGACTTTGGCATGGCTAGGATTTTTGGTGGTAACCAGGACCAAGCTAGTACTCAGAGGGTAGTCGGAACATAGTAAGTACTCTGCATTTTGCTCAACTATATACCAATCCAAACACATAGTCATGCTATTTATCAACATATTATCTGATACAATTTTCAATCTACATGACAGCGGATACATGTCTTCAGAGTATGCAATGGAAGGACACTTTTCCGAAAAATCTGATGTATTCAGCTTTGGGGTGTTATTACTGGAGATAGTAAGTGGAAAAAAGAACAGCAGTTTTTGGTATCAAGAAGATTTTTTAAGTCTCTTGGGATATGTAAGTTATCCTAGACAGCAAGTTCTAACTTCATAGTAACTTTACTGCAATTTCGTACTTAATCTAAATTCTAATGAACACAATGATTTCAGACTTGGAAACTGTGGAATGACAACACTATCGAAACACTGATAGATCCAACGATTTCAAGTCCAGACTTCCAAGAGGAGATTCTAAGGTGCATACATGTAGGGCTATTGTGTGTGCAAGAGATTGCTAGAGATAGACCAAACACTTCAGTGGTTATGTCCATGCTTGTCAGAGACATTATGGATCTTCCCAGTCCAAAAGCACCCGGATATACACAACGCCAGATATCAGCTGACACCGGTTCATCTCAAATCACAGATGAAACTTCTTCTACGAATCATGTTACAATTACAACTTTGACTGCCCGATAGCACAATTATGTATGAAGAATGAAATGAACCCTCCACACTCTTTTTTTAGGGTGAGGAGTTGAAAACATGGATCCCTTACTATGAGTTCAGTATGGTCAGCAAAATGGTGAACAATATGTCTCTTAAACTTACAAGTAATATACTCATGTTTTTAACTCTGTCAGTCACTCTGTAACGCCATATTCTACTACAGAGCATAACTTTGATCTGTTTGGAGAAAGTAACATGTAAAAATATTGATTTGTGATAGCATTATTATTATTATTATTATTATTTGAATATATTTGTGATAGCATTATAAACTGCAAAAAAAGAATTTATTTATAAGAATATGGTTCAAAGAATAAAAATATAATACAGCTAATATTTACTCTAAAGATCTAGGACACGTTCAAAGATCAATTACTGCCAACTAATTGGTTCTTATTAGAACATAGTTCTCCCGGAATTTTTTTTTCGTGAATGTGAGAGTAAAGTAGTGATCCTTATAGTTATAGTTACTTGAATTATAAGATAAACTCAAAGGGACAACCCCAGTATAAAGTGAAGTGGACAAACTTTAAGAAACGTACATATTACTCCGTATCAAAATTCAGAGGCTGCTCCACTAAAATAATTGATTTCATGGAATTTTTGCTCCTACAAATTTGGGGTTGTAATCAAGCCAACCAATTTAAATAAATTCCATTGTTGACTCTGTGGGATCATCATTGTTGCTGACAAAATAATCCTTGTGACTTATTTTATGGTCAAATGATAGGCCCAAATAATTGAGCATGATGGTGATTTTTATTACTTAGGTCCTAATCAAATACTAGCCACTTTTCCAAGTAGTTTCCCTTTCACATTTTACTAATTTGACTATTTGAGTCATATATACCAGCTACCAAGTTTTAGGATGTAGACTCATTCAAGAAAAAAATAGTAATGCTACTAATGAGTAAAGTTTATATTCACAAATCACTGTAATTAGAGATAATTACAAGAGAGTAATAGCTACTTAGCTTGCACATGTAAAGGATATCGAGAAAGTACTCAAGAGTAGCTAATAAGGCGGCAGATTAATTAGACTATCTACAGACTAAAGTTGGCTAACCAAACCGACTACTCGGTGAGACCTTAAAACAGTTCTTAAGCACTTCTTATTATTAATCATTTTTATTCTAAAGCAACTTAAGCTCATTGGCTTCCTGCCAAACCTTAATCCATCCAACTCACATGTCAAAGTTGACAACCAGGTCAAAACTCCCGAATATAAACATATGAACCAAACTATACAACCATGTCGGCAAGTCCATAAGTTTTCAATGGCAAGCTCTAGACCTCACAAAGTCACAATACGAAGTCAAGCATACCTGTGGTGCTAAACAAAGAGAAGACTTGTGCTTCAAACATTAAAGATATTTAAACAATTAGCCAAAATCAAATCATATGATTCCATGTAACTTCGACTTTAATTATAAAAAAAAAAATGATTCAAATTTATGCATTTTTTCTTTACATATTACCACTTGGTTTAGAATTATGCTCAGCGGCCACAGCCATAAGCAGCATAACACCAACACAGATCCTAAAAGACCCAGAAACTATAGTCTCCAAAAATAGTTTATTTAGGCTTGGGTTTTTCAGCCCTGCTAATTCGACAAATCGCTATGTTGGTATCTGGTATAATCTCCCTTCTGTAAAGGAAGTCATATGGGTAGCTAACAGGAATAGTCCTCTCACTGATTCTAATGGAGTGCTTAGATTATCAGTTGATGGGAATCTGCAAGTTGAGAATTCAAGAAATGTGACACTTTGGTCTTCAAATGTCACTCATCCTGCCACAAAATTCTCAGTTGCTCAACTTTCGGATTTTGGGAGCCTTGTTGTCCAAGGATTTCCATCCAATGCAACCCCTGAAAATGGGACTATCATATGGCAGAGTTTTGAGCACCCGGCAGATTCAGTTTTACCAAATATGAGGTTCATCCTTACCTCAAATTCTGATTTGAGGCGGGTCTTGCAAGCTTGGAAAAGCTCTTCAGACCCATCAAATGGAAGATTCTCAATTGGCACTAATTCCTTAGGCCTATTCCAGATCATCATCTGGGATGGAGATCGTCCACATTGGCGAAGTGGTCCTTGGAATGGCAACATTTTCATAGGGACAAGATACCATAACACTGGCTATGGTAATATCTTGGTCAATACCGGGTCATTCACACAAGAAACAGTCGGTGGAATGCTTTCCCTGGTGTTTGCTGGTGCAAATGAGACTTTGATGTCACATTATGCAATAACTTATCAGGGAATAATAGCTCAAAGATGGTGGGATGATAGCATTAAGAATTGGGGGATCTCATGGAAGGCCCCAGATAACGTGTGTGATATTTATGGGAAATGTGGGGAATTTGGCAGCTGCAGACCTTATAGTTCCCCAATCTGCAGTTGTTTGAAAGGTTTTGAACCTAAAAACAAAGAAGAATGGAAGAGAGGAAATTGGTCGAGTGGGTGTGCAAGAAGAAAGCAACTGCAATGTGGTCTACCAGGGAGTAAACAAGATGGGTTTCTGAGATTAAGCATGATGAAAGTGCCAGAAAATGCTGAATTGATTACAGGATTGAACATAGATCAGTGCAGAAGTGCATGCCTTACAAATTGCTCTTGTTTGGCTTATGCATATGATACCCAGATCACATGTTTGACATGGAGTGGAAACTTAATCGATGTTGCAGACCTTTCCCCTGGCGGGGTTGATCTATACCTTCGGCTTGCACAATCTGAGCTAAGTAAGCTGGAACCTCCAGACACATTTACTTTCTTCAATTTCTTGCTTCACTACTCTTATTCATGAAAAAAAATAAATTAAGATGCATTTTTGGGTCACTCTAAAACTGTTTTTGCTACTAGTTTAGCTTGATTAGGAGATGGGATCCACACCTGATAGTGAGCTGATAGCTTGTTCTTTTAGCCTAAAAGTCAAAAAGAACAAAGACGGTTAGTATTATAATAAAAATAAATAAAATTCTTCTGATTTACAGGTAATAATATAAACATCAAAGCAATAGTTGCAGCCAGTGTAATTTCAGGAACAGCGGCAGTTGCTGCCATCATATGGTTCCTTTGGAGGAGATCAAAATCGAAAGGTAAAGTGCCATGCTTACCAATCAAGAGAGTTGAGAGAAGCCAAGCAACACCTAACGCACATGTGTTTAGAGACAAGAGCCAAGTTATGATTGAAGACTTGCAAATATTGGAATTTGACAAGTTGGCTGAGGCAACAGACAGCTTCCATGAGTATAATTTGCTCGGAGCTGGTGGATTTGGGCAAGTATACAAAGTAAGAAGTTTTCCAGAGTATTACTAGTAGTCCTTAATTAATGAAGCTAAAAACCTTAAAATTTAGGTGCTCTATTTGTTACAGGGAAAACTGGAAGACGGACAGGAAATAGCAGTAAAGCGACTGTCAAGAGCATCTGGACAAGGTGCAGAAGAGTTTATGAATGAGGTTGCATTAATTTCAAAACTTCAACACCGCAATCTAGTGAAACTGCTGGGATGCTGTGCTGAAGGCGAGGAAAAAATGCTGATATATGAGTTCATGCCAAATAAAAGCTTGGATACATTTCTATTTGGTTGGTCTCTATCATTATAAGTTTATAACAGAAACTCAAAGCATAAATTCAAAGGGGTTAAATAGATAAGTGCAGACTTAGTTTCATATAAAGTACATAAATAAATAACCTTGGTAATATTACACTACATATTTATTACTGTATTTTCATTTCTAATTCCCTTGAGCAGATCCAGAAAAGCGCAAATCTTTAGACTTGCAAAAATGCTTCAACATCATAGAAGGGGTATGCCGAGGCCTACTTTACCTTCACAGAGATTCCAGATTAAAAATTATCCACAGAGACCTCAAAGCAAGTAATATTCTGCTGGATAAAGACCTCAATCCAAAAATTTCAGACTTTGGCATGGCTAGAATTTTCGGGGGTAACCAGGATCAAGCTAGTACTCAAAGAGTTGTTGGAACATAGTAAGTACCCTGCTATTTGCTATTATATTCAGCCAAACAAAAGCTAGGTTTGCTAATCTAACAGCATTGTTTATATTCGATACAGTGGTTACATGTCTCCAGAGTATGCAATGGAAGGACACTTCTCTGAAAAATCAGATGTATTCAGCTTCGGAGTGGTACTGATTGAGATAGTAAGCGGAAAAAAGAATAACAACTACTGGTATCAGGAAGACTCCCTGAGTCTCTTAGGATATGTAAGTTGTTTTTCACTTTGAAAAAAATAAGTCACAGTAAGGGCCAACAAATTCAGAATCCAAGATACATTCAAACTTTTCATTTAACTTAAAGCATAATTAGCTAAGATTGCTGAAATAACAATTGCAGGCCTGGAAATTGTGGAGAGAAGACAATATCATTTTATTGATCGACCCGTCCATTAATAGTGCACCCTTCCAAGCTGAGACAGTAAGATGTATACATGTAGGGCTATTGTGTGTTCAAGAACTCGCCAAAGACAGGCCAAACATGTCAACCGTCATCTCCATGCTTTTAAGTGATATAACAGAGCTTCCAAATCCAAAACCACCCGGGTTTGTTCAACGCCAGCTGTCGTCTGATACAGGGTCATATCAGATCACTGAACAAACTTCTTCCACAAATTATGTTACTGTAACATCTTTGGCTGCTCGATAGTATATCTATTTTTCTCTTTATAAAATTGAATTAACTATGCTTTTCTGGGATGCATAACTTGAAATGTGAATAACCCTTTTTTACTTTGACTGTCCTACTTATCATACTAAGCATCAAATTTTTATTCTGAATATCATCCTTTTTGTTTTATTCAGCACCATATAAAAGCGCATAATTAGTCCCATAACAAGGTTATCAGTATAAACTAGTGATCAATATTTTCATCTCTAAAGTGCCAATATCTTTCCTAATTACTTGATTTAATTAACAGTTATGACTAACACTGGAACAGACAATAATAATGACTTCAATTTCACATTTTGGTCAACACTTCGTGTTTTTTTTTTTTTTTTTTTTTTTTTTGTCTAGACTTTGCAAAGGATGTGACCTGAATATCTCTCATGAATCACATCTATTACTAGACTTTGGAGTTGATTCCAAATTCATTGAACTAAGAGTGAAAGGTAAGAATCAAAACATCATATGATTCAAATACTGATATGAGTCATATGACTATTATGATGGTTCCATCTCTGAAGGCTCCCGTCTTTCCCCCTACTAATTGAAGATGCCAAAAATGCTAGGAACCAAGCTAACATAGCAACGTTTCATCAATTTCAAGTAAAAAAACAAATGATTCACATATATCAACACGACAACAACTAAAATAAAAAAAGAAAAGAGACATCCAAAAGGTACATGTACGCAAATAAAGAAATTAATAACAAATCCCTTTAATTGGAATTTATCGACTTGTATACTATTTTAGAATGTTTGAAAAAAGTTCTCACCTTTCTTAAAAATAAAAATAATTCACGCCAGATTTCAAAATATGCAACACCTAAATTACTCCTAGGATAGATAGAAATGAAACTCAAGACGCAACTAAAACTCCTTTTTTATTTTTTATTCGTGTTTTGGTTCTACCCGCTGTAGACCTGTAAACCAAGGAAAGTTCCAAAAAAAAAAAAAAAAAAAAAAAAGAAAAAAAAGAGAGAGATAGAGAGAGTAAAAAATGGATGTGGGTAAGAAAAATGGTGGAATTATTTGCCTCTAAGGTAAAGTGGGTAAGTCAAACCTAGAAAAATTGTGTATGATAATCAGAATAGTTAAAATAGAAATAGATAAATCAATGACAAATGAACAAAAGGGGCAGCTTAAAAGTTCTTTTTATAAAATCAAGTCACAGTCTTAATTATGAGAGGCTACGAGGCTTATGACATGGTAACTAATATTTCTACATGGAGATAGAATTTCTCAACCTAAAAAAGATGCAAAACTTGGCAAAGTCCATATAGAATTTGTCAGTCAACAAACACTCATAGATATAGAAAACTAAACCTTACATTTAATATTAGTTATTCACATTGTCTCAACTCCACATAATTAAGGATATGACATGATTTCACATAAAGACTCTTAAACATATTTGATTTACCATTCAATTCTCCCATCCTAATTTGAGAAGAACAATCCAATCATAAACCTTTAGTATGATATATGTGTGTATTATTTCTAGATGAGGGCATATGATTTACAACAAATAATGCACAAAACTAATTGTATCCACATACCTTTTTTGATTTGTTTGTCCTTTTTTAAAAAAAAATTCTTGCAGGCTGCATCAGTTTTCACTTCATTTGCATCATCTTGAGGAATTCTCGCTTGATAATTCTTCATACCTTTATTAAAACAATAAAGTGGCCCACCACTTAATGTCACAAGAAAAGTCAAGATCTTTGACCATTTGTGTGTAAAATTTCTGCATTGGTTATTAGCTCTTGGTTAATTTAAATCTGCAACACGAGCAAGAGATACCATCAGCTCTTCTTTCCTTAGCACCAACTAGGATTTCAGAGTAAACCATCCTACACATATATAAAAACACTGTCATCTATTTATGTACTACTACTCTTTTCTGTAAGGATTAAAGTGTTCAACTAACTTGCAATCAACCCACAATAGCAATGAACAAACAAGCATAACAATCAAGAACAACTTTGAAGGAATTAAAGCAAGTAAAAGGAAGACAATGTTACCGTGGGAAAACCCGAGAACCGGGAGAAAAAACCCACCCTTGCACTATGGAGTAATATTGATGATGAATGAACTCAAGAATTACAAGCATGAATTGTATAGAATTCAAATGCTCCTCACAAACCCTCTCAAAACCTCTCTATGTGTTTAAATGTTTGTGAATACTCAACAAAGAGGCTTAGAAAAGGTATATATAGTTTAGGTAGAAAATACAATCCAACGGCTAAGATTAAAGCAAATCGCACAAGCCGAAAACGAAGCGACGAAATAGGGAGCAGGGAGGTTCGGCCGAACCTACCCAGAGTTCGGTCGAACCAGGGGTGGTTCGGTCGAACCTCCTTGGGTTTGGTCACTCCTCCTCTAGAAATGTAAACTGGTTTACCTACTGACTTAAAACCGGGTTCGACCGAACTTTTCACAAGTTTGGTCGAACCTTAACAATAAGGCAGCTTCTATGCAATCTCCTTATGTCTCCATGTATTTATCTATCTCCACACTAATCCTAACAATCTCCCACTTGGAGATAGGATCAAACATGCACCATAGACTACCACATACACACTCCTTCCTCAAGAACACTTAATACATTCATCAAAACAATTTCACCATAGCACAACACTCCTTCAAATTAATGATGGAGTCCAATTGAGGTCCTACACAACCTCAATTTGTCACTAGAAACAGCTTTAGTGAGCATATCCGCCGGATTCATTGAACCGGCAATCTTCCTCAAACACATCGTGCCATCCTTCACCAAACTCCTAGTATAGTGATAACGCCTCTTGATGTGTTTAGTGCGATAATGAAACATAGGATTCTTAGCCAATTGAACCGCACTTTGGCTATCACTATACAACGCACAAACATCTTGTTTCATGCCCATTTCTTCAAGGAAACCCTTCAACCATTCCATCTCCTTTCCCGCTTCCGACATAGCCACATACTCGGCTTCCGTCGTAGACATAGAGACACACTTTTGGAGCTTGCTCATCCAACTAATGGCCGTACCACCAATAGTATACACATACCCCGAAGTGCTTTTGCTTGAATCATAACATCCTCCAAAATCGGCATCAACAAAACCTTCCAAAACAACTTCATTTCTCCTAAAGCAAAGAGCCATACTTGAAGTACCCAACAAATACCTCAATAGCCACTTCACGGCTTCCCAATGTCTCTCACCCGGATTTGACATGAACCTACTCACAACTCCCACTGCGTGAGCAATGTCGGGCCTCGTGCAAATCATAGCATACATCATGCTACCAACGGCCGAAGCATAAGGAACAATGGCCATTTTGTCCTTCTCTTCCCTTGTCTTTGGGCAATCCTCCTTAGTCAACTTGAGCTCACTTGAAAGAGGTGAGCTTCGAGGCTTTGCATCAATCATGTTAAATCTTTTAAGCACCTTCTTGACATACTCCTCTTGAGATAACTTCAACACACCCGTTGAGCTATCCCTAGAAATTCTCATGCCAAGTATTTGCTTGGCCTCACCCAAGTCTTTCATCTCAAATCTTCTTGACAACTTCTTTTTCAAGTCATTGACAATTTCCATACTAGTTCCCGCAATCAACATATCATCAACATACAAAAGCAAGTAGATATAGCCATTGTCATACCTTTGAAAGTAGCAACAATGGTCACCTTCCGCTCTCACGAAACCATTGCCTAGCATGAAATTGTCAAACTTCTTGTACCATTGTCTAGGAGCTTGTTTCAACCCATATAGACTCCGTTTAAGCTTGCACACCAAGTTCTCTTGACCCGGAACTTGAAACCCTTCCGGTTGCTTCATGTAGATTTCCTCCTCCAAATCACCGTGTAAAAACGCGGTTTTTACATCCATTTGCTCAAGAAATAAGTCCTCCGAAACCACTATAGCCAACAAGATCCTTATAGTGGTTAGCTTCACAACCGGAGCAAAGATCTCATGATAATCAATGCCCTCCTTTTGTGAAAAACCTTTCACCACAAGTCTTGCCTTGTACCGAATTGTACCATCCGGTTCTTCTTTCTTTCGAAAGATTCACTTGCACAAAAGTGCTCTCTTGCCCTTAGGCAACTCAACCAGCACCCAAGTGTTGTTTTTCTCCAATGAAGACATCTCATCTTCCATTGCTTGCTCCCACTTCAACGAGTCACCCATGCCCATTGCCTCTTTATAACATTCCGGCTCACCGGAATCCGTCAACAACAAATAATGCAAGGATGGAGAATATCGGTGTGGTGGCTTGATTGTTCTTGATGATCTCCTCACCGTTGGTGGTGTAGATGGCTCTCAATGAACCACAACGGGCTCACCCATAACTACTCGCTCATCCGTTTCCAAGTGATCATCATCATCCGAATCACTTGAATCCGAATCCACCGGAACATGAGCACCATGTTGAGGAGATGCTTGTTGAATTTGCACCTCAACTTCTACCTGTTCAACTTCCTTATCACTTCTAACCTTACCATCTAGCTCAACAAATTCCCGCTCATCTTCAATTGATTCTTTCTCAACGGATTTCCCACCAAAGTTGTCTTTGTACAAAGAGCTCTCATCAAAAGTGATGTCACAATGCCTAACAATCTTTCGATTCTTAGGATCCCACAATCTATAACCATATTTCTCACATCCATACCCGATGAAGTAACATTTGATGGCTTTTGGGTCTAGCTTGTCTTTCTTTTCGGATTGCAAATAGGCCACACAACCAAAGGTCTTCAAGTGAGTGTAGGACACCTCCTTACCACTCCACTCCTCCTCCGGTATCTTGAACTCCAAAGGTACCGAAGGTCCACGGTTTATCAAGTAAGTCGCGGTACTAAGGGCATCCGCCCAAAAACACTTTGGGAGGCCCGCAAACAACCTCATACACCTTGCCCTCTCCAGTAAAGTCCTATTCATCCGCTCCGCTACCCCGTTTTGGCGAGGTTTACCGGGAATGGTCCTCTCCAAAACAATGCCATGCTCCTTACAAATGTTTTTGTAAGCTTCCAACTCATACTCTCCTCCATTGTCGGACTTGATTGCCTTAATCTTCTTGCCCGAAACATTTTCAACCTCCGCCTTCCAAGTCTTGAACTTCTCATTCACTTCCGACTTGTGCTTCATGAAATATACCCATACTTTCCGGGTTGAATCATCAATGAAAGTGACAAAATAGTGAGAACCACCAAGGGACTTGATGGGGTATGGGCCCCAAACATCCGTGTGCACAAGTTCTAGCTTCTCCTTCTTCAAGGACCGTTTGGTTTTTGTGAAAGACACCTTCTTTTGTTTCCCAAAAACACATGTCTCACAAAATTTCATGTCGATTGATTTCAACCCCGACAACTTACCCTTTGAAGCTAGCAATTTCATCCCTTTCTCACTCATGTGACCAAGCCGAGTATGCCAAAGCTTAGTCTCATCATTTGCGGTTGTAGCAATCATGCTTTTACACCCTAAGGTAGTGTACAATGTGCCGGTCTTCGTGCCCCGAGCCACCACCATAGCTCCTTTTGACACCTTCCAAGTACCCTCACCAAACATGGTTCTATAACCGCTTGAGTCTAGTTGACCCACCGAAATCAAATTTTTCCTTAGCTTAGGTATGTACCTAACATCTTCAAGTTTCCATGAGCTCCCACTTGAGGTCTTGATCATGACATCTCCTTTCCCCAAAATTTCCAACGGTTCATCATCCGCAAGGTACACCTTTCCAAACTTGCCACTCTTGAAGTTTTGGAAAATCTCCTTACATGGAGAAGAATGAAATGAAGCTCCCGAATCAAGGATCCAAGACTCAATGGGACTATCAACACTCAAGATCAATGCATCACCGATTTCATCGCTTGATGCCAAGCTAACCGATGAACTAGCATCATCGTGGTTCTTGTGGTTTGAACCACCCTTCTTCTTGGGATTAGGACATTCCCTCTTAGTATGCCCTTTCACACCACAACCCAACACACAATGTTCACCTTCCCTTTCGACTTACTCCTCCCTCTAGACTTCGATCTTCCTCTTTGAGCACCTCTTTGTTGTCTTCCACGTCCCCTACCTTCACTAGAATAAGCACCACCCGATGACTCACCCGAGTTCTTCCTTCTCAAGCTCTCACTCAAGATTAAGTCCCTCACATCATCACACTTCAACTTCGACTTTCCGGAAGAGTTGCTAATGGCGGCTACAACGGTATCCCAACTTCTAGGCAACGATGACAACAAGATCAAGGCCCTCACTTCATCATCAAACTTAATCTCAACCGAAGCTAGTTGAGAGATTATTGAATTGAATTCATTTATATCTTCGGGGGCGGAACCACTATCATTCATCTCAATTTCAAACAAACGACGCATCAAGAACACCTTGTTCATAGCCGATGGCTTCTCATACATATTGGACAATGCTTTGATCACACCAACCGTCGTTGTCACATCTTTGACATTGTAAGCAACACTCTTAGCCAATGTCAATCTAATCACTCCAAGGGCTTGTCTATCCAATACTTTCCACTCCTCTTCCTTCATACCCGATGGTTTACTAGTAAGGGGCAAATATAGGTTCTTTTGATACAAATAGTCCTCTATTTGCATCTTCCAAAACCCAAAATCCTTCCCATCAAACTTCTCAATTCTCAACTTGCCTTCTTCCATTGCAAATCAAACACACAAAGTTCACAATAGGTTTTCAACAACAAAGAATGCAACTTGACACCCAAGACTCAAACTTTGAACACCTAAAGTTCCAAACTTTGAAACTCAATCACAATTTCAAGTTTAACACAAACCCTAAATCATCAAAACACCAAAGATTCAACCTTGGCTCTGGTACCAATTGTAAGGATTAAAGTGTTCAACTAACTTGCAATCAACCCACAATAGCAATGAACAAACAAGCATAACAATCAAGAACAACTTTGAAGGAATTAAAGCAAGTAAAAGGAAGACAATGTTACCGTGGGAAAACCCGAGAACCGGGAGAAAAAACCCACCCTTGCACTATGGAGTAATATTGATGATGAATGAACTCAAGAATTACAAGCATGAATTGTATAGAATTCAAATGCTCCTCACAAACCCTCTCAAAACCTCTCTATGTGTTTAAATGTTTGTGAATACTCAACAAAGAGGCTTAGAAAAGGTATATATAGTCTAGGTAGAAAATACAATCCAACGGCTAAGATTAAAGCAAATCGCACAAGCCGAAAACGAAGCGACGAAATAGGGAGCAGGGAGGTTCGGCCGAACCTACCCAGAGTTCGGTCGAACCTGGGGTGGTTCGGTCGAACCTCCTTGGGTTTGGTCACTCCTCCTCTAGAAATGTAAACTGGTGCACCTACTGACTTAAAACCGGGTTCGACCGAACTTTTCACAAGTTTGGTCGAACCTTAACAATAAGGCAGCTTCTATGCAATCTCCTTATGTCTCCATGTATTTATCTATCTCCACACTAATCCTAACATTTTCTTACTTCAACATACAAATTTCCACAGCTAATGACAGCATTACAATGAAAAAGTTCATTCATGATGGAGAAACCATAATATCCGGTGATGGTACTTTCAAGCTGGCCTTTTTCAGCCCACCACACTCTACAGACCGCTATGTCGGCATCTGGTACAACAAAGTTTCAGAGATGAATGTTGTTTGGGTTGCAAACAGAAACAACCCTCTAAATGACTCTTCAGGTTTATTCAAGATCACAGAGGACGGCGATCTAAAAGTGTTGAATGGTCAGAAAGAGATCCTATGGCAGTCAAATGTCACATATAGGGCCACTAATTTGTCAAAAGCTCAGCTTTTAGATTCTGGAAACTTGGTATTACTCAGTTCTAATAGTACAATATTATGGCAAAGTTTTGATCACCCCACCAACACAATGTTTCCAAAAATGAGTACGACTTTCAACAAAGAAAACTATAAAAATCCTCTTTTACAATCTTGGAGAAGCCCATCGAATCCCTCGGAAGGAAGGTTCTCTCTTCGCCTTGATTCTGTTATTCTCCCAGAGTTTATTATAGGGAACAATGATCGCCCATATTGGAGAAGCGGGCCTTGGAATGGTAACATGTTTATTGGAATTCAGGTTAATTACCCTGACTTCCATAGTCATGGATTGAGTGTTCAAAATGATGACCAGGGAACCATTACAGTGGTGTATTCAAACCCCGAAAATTCTTTGTCAAACATAGAATTAGACTACCAAGGAAATTTAATCCAACAGTACTGGGATGATACTAATGGCAAGTGGAAAGTTTGGTGGCAGGCCCCCTAAAATGAGTGTGGCTTTTACGGAAAGTGTGGAGAATTTGGAAGCTGCAATTCTCTCCAATTTCCAGTTTGTAAATGTTTGAAGGGCTTTCACCCAAAGAACAAAGAAGAGTGGGACAAAGGAAACTGGAGCAGTGGGTGTACACGAAGGACGAGCTTCAATGTGGAGTAAAAGGTGCAAAAGATGATGTGTTCTTTAGGCTAAAGATGATGAAAGTGCCAGCAAATACTGAGTGGTCACCAGGGTTAGATGAAAGCAGGTGCAGAAGCCACTGCTTGAGAGATTGTTCATGCTTAGCTTATGCGTATGACATTGGTGTGGGGTGTATGTCTTGGGGCAGAAACTTGATAGACACACAAGAGTTTTCCACAAGTGGGGCAGATCTTTTCCTTCGTCTGGCACCCTCAGAGCTAGGTAGGAAAACCTTTTCTATTAGGCTCAGTTCTTTTCACAAAAAACTTACTGATCAAGTTAAAATTTGCTAATTTAAAAAGTTTCTAAACATTCAGAAATAACCTGCTTTTAAAAAAAAAATTACTGATGAAAAGTTAACAGTTTATCTAGCATTTACTTCTTTCACGCAATAGAAATTGAAGCTAATCTTACTCATGCAGACAAATTCTTTCTTGTATTCAGGTAAGAACAGTAAAATAAAAATAATTATAGCAGTAACAGGAGCTTCAGTGTCTGCCACCCTTGTAGCTATTGTATACTTCTTGTGTAAGAGGAAGTCTAAACAAGGTAACATTCATTATAAAGTTAAATTCTATCGTTGACATAAATCATTATCCCACAAAGAACAGAGTTGAATATGTTCCAGATTGATGTCATACTTAGACAATAACCAACATATGGGATGCAATCAATTATACTTACATGGCTCAGCATTAAGAAAGACAGTATATATGCAGCTGATGGAAAGATGAGAGAAAATAAAGATCACAACATATTTCGTATAGAAAATAAAATATCAATAAGCAAGGATTTGCAAAAAAAAAAAAAAAAAAAAAAAAAAAAAAAGCAAGGATTTCAAATTTCTCATTAATAAATTGTATAGAATATGGAGTATCTATACCATACAGATTTATCCATATTTATATGACTTGGAAGACTTAAGGCAGATGACACCTCTTTTCTTCTGTTATTTCTGTTCTGAACTATAAGTTCTAATTTTTAACATGCATCAGGAAAGAAAACTGAAAATTATAAAGCATTGTTGAATATTCTTGGCAACAATAAAGCTCTAGTAAACCTCGAAGAGCTATGATTCTTTGAGTTTAAAAAACTGGCCACAGCAACAGACAACTTTCAGGAAAGCAACAAGCTAGGAGAAGGTGGTTTTGGCCAAGTGTTTAGGGTAATATATGCTAGGTTGATTAATTCTTATTATTAAGTACTTCCTAAGCTATTGTATACAATAATACAATACATCATTGTATCCAAAATTTTTATTGAATACAATGTATCATCATATTCAAGTCTCATTCTCAAGATATCATCACTTCATAAAAACCAATCTAAAGTAAATCTCCTCAACTAACATCCAAAAACAATCTAAATTTTGTGATTCAACTGTAAAATAAAAGAGTGCACCAATATGTAATTGTAGACTAAAATCAATTTGATTATATATTACGCAGTATTTTTTCAATATTTGTCACAAAAATGCCACTTGATTGACTAACTTCGTCAATCACTGATATCAACCAGCATTTTCTTCAATTGGTGTACAATTATATGAAAGGAGCTCAATTAAGAGAAATTTTAAACGAACGACTAAAATTCTTCACCAATATGATATTAAATTATAGCAGTCGTTAAAGAAGAAGCATAAAATTAGTTGCAAAAGCAATCAAACAAAGTACTAATTGTAGAAAAACTGAACAAAAACAGCATAAAATCAAAGGTAATTGGACTAAATTATTCAGAATTTCACATTAAACATACGATTAAACAATCAATTGAAATTAAAAAGGCAAAATTTTACAGAAAATGAGATCAAAAGTAAGAGAAATTAGAGAAGAACCTGATACGAAGAGGCATTTTTCTCAAAGTAAAGTGGATTTGCTGGAAAGAATGAAATTAGGTTTCTGGTGAGTAATACGGCGCCGTTTTTTGGTTTTCCGATTTCTGAATTAATCGCAGAGAATGAGAAAGATGGGTGTTTGAGTAACTGGTTGAGTGAAAAGAAAGTAGGAATATTAACGAACTTAAAACGGCTCATTACAATTTGCGGGAAAATTGATTTCAATTTTGTTGGACAACATTATTGCAAATGGAAAGGGTGCTAAAACTAGTTTTTTTGCCACTAGTAATGGGAGCAAACTATGTTTAGTCTTTTTTGCCAAAAGCCCCGTTTATCTTTTTTTATGAACGAAATACTTTTTTTTTTTTTTTTTTTTTTGAAGACAACGAAATACTCTCTTTTTTTTTTTTTTTTTTTGACAAGACGAAATACTCTCTTTGTTTCTCATTAATTGCAACTTTTTTTTTTCATCCGTTTATAATCCTTATTTTGGTCAACTTTTTTTTTTTTTTTTTTTTTTTTGAGGAAAATCTTGTTTATTTCATTAATTATATGTCAATCCTTGTATTGCAAGTAATCTGAAATAAAAGGGGACATGTAAATCATATGACAAAATTGTGATATTTTGGATAAAATCGTTACCAACATTAGCAATTTTCAAACGATGTCGAGTGCAACTAGACACATAGCTATTATTTTGTGATTTATTATTGTTACAATGGTATTTTTAACATACTACTATACTTACAGGGGTATTTTTAATGTATTTTTATACATATATTTTTTAATACTAGAGTATAAGTTGTTTTAGTAGTACTATTTATAGTTATTGTAGGTAACAGTGGTATAATATTTGTACCACTAGAAGAAACAAAATTCACCACTATTTTGTCTTATAGTTGCTATTACTTGCTAGTTGCTACGTAAATAGCACCTATGCGTCAATACTTAACCAACAATGTCACGTTACACGATTTGATTAAATGTTGACCACTTGATTTACTTATTACATTCCAAGTTTATTAAGAAGATAGATAAAATTGCATATATCTCCTATTAATAGGATTGAAAGCATAATTTTTTTATTTTTTTTTGGACAGAATATTGTACATAGTTGTAGACTTGTAGTTGTCAAGTAGTGAAAGATTCCACAGTGCTACTTGCTCGACCAAAAAGTAGCTGATTTGAGATCCAATTTTAAATACAAAACTTAAAATGTAACAAGCTGAAACAAACATTGACCTGAAAAGAAGTTGGCCTGATCACCTAAGTGACTCAAACCGGTTGCAACCAAAGTGATAGTAACTTAACAAAATCAGTTTTAATTCAACCCGAATTAGTTGTAGTAGCAATAGTCTCAACTTCTTTGTAGTAGCTTATACTAAGGCATACCTACCCTCATCCATTTGCTGATAGAGATCATAAGTGGTTACAGGAATACTCCGTAGCATACTTTGTGATGATGAGCAGTCCTTGAGCCTCTTAGCTACGTGACAGCAAACTAGTGCATATTTGAGTTCCTACATTGTCAATCGAAAACCATAGATTCTTAAATCTTGGATCATACACATTACACAACCATGACTCTGGTCTTGCCATGATTGTTGTTAAAATGCTTGTAGGACTGGGCGAACATTGCTTTGGTAGCTGACCTAGTGATTTATGATCCATGCTTCCACGATGAGGTCTTATGGTGCATACTAGTAGGCTAGTAGCCCTATTGTATGTACAAGAATTCCGAAAGACAAGCCAGATGTTACCATGATTCAATGTTATCGAGTCCAAAGCAGCCTGGCTTCACTCTAACTGAATTTTACACAAATCAAAGGTTCTCTCAGCAAGGGCAAGAAGGTGGTTCTTCAAATATTATATCTATCACAACTATAAGTGCTTGATAATTCATATATGTATCAGCATATATAACACTATGATAGGAGCCAATAAAGCTGATGTGTAGATCAAGTTTAGTGTACAACAATTTTCCAACTTCCTCAAAAACATGCCTTTGTTGTCTTAACAAGTTTAGGGTTGCCTATACATCTTGATTCCTCTGAAATTCACCGACAATGTTTCAATCAACATTCACAAATTTACACAAAGCAACATCTTCAAAAACGTGCTCCCTACTATTTCAAATAAAATTTAACAAAAAAAAAAAAAAAAAAAAAAGTGCTCCCTACACTGTCCGATAGTTGTTCAACTTTGACTTTTACATTATTAGATTAAAATTTTGTTGGATTTAAGTTAATATATTTTCTCCATTTCACAATACTTCCTACATACAATAGTGGATTGACACAAATATTATTAAAAAAAAAGTAACAGAGAAAAGTAAGATAATGTCTTCTTGTCCCCGCTTATAATGAGGACAATAGGCACATAAAAAAATTTCCAACAGTAATAATTATTGTGGCATGAGTTACCCAACACAAACACACACACACACAAAATGATTAGCTTTTTTTGAAGGTGATTCCCATCCTCAGATTAAATCATTTATAAGTATCATAACTAGTACATTTCTTCAACTCTTTCCTAGGTATATTCCAACCCAAACTCCACGACCTACAATAGAATATACAATCAGCAAAATTTTCCTTAAATTTTAGTAACACAATATTAACCCCATTTGTATTTCCTACTCAGTTAACCAGCAAAATTGAACTCCATTTGTTATTTGTATTCAAATTTTTCTGTTAAATACCATGTATTATCTGTATTCAATTAGTTTCTTCTCTTTTTTTCTATTGCAACAAACTTCAGCTTTAGACAAAATTATAGCTAGCAAGTTCCTTACAGACCCTGAAACTATAGTCTCTAGTAATGGTGCATTTAAACTGGGGTTCTTTAGCCCCCCTAACTCGACACACCGTTATGTAGGAATCTGGTATAGTAAACTCACCACGAGTAACGTTGTGTGGGTGGCTAACCGGAACAAACCTCTGAAAGATTCAACTGGTGGAGCAATCAGAATATCTGATGATGGCAATCTTCGAGTCCTGAATGCTCAAAACCATACACTTTGGTCCTCGAATATTAATGTTTCTGTCTCCAGCAACACTAACAGAAGTATAGTATCAGAAGCGCAGCTCTTAGACTCTGGCAACCTAGTTTTGGCGGATCAAGAGGGCATGATCTTGTGGCAGAGCTTTAAGCACCCAACTGATACAGCTTTGCCAAATATGAAACTTACTGTCAACAAGAATTCTGACATGAGGAAAATGTTACAGGCCTGGAATGGCCCTTCAGACCCGTCTTCTGGAAGGTTCTCGGTTGGCATTGATTCTTTTGCCTTCCCACAGCTTGTCATTTACAATAATGATCAGCCTTACTGGAGGAGTGGTCCATGGAATGGCCACATCTTTACTGCAATACAAAATAACGAGACTGATGAGTTCAATGATGCCGGTTTCATTCTTGAGAATGACAGGCAAGGTACCATTTCTATAACATATTCTTACACTAATCAGTCAGTGTTATCTAACTATGGGTTGAGCTATAAAGGAACTTTGACTCAGCGATGGTGGGATGAGAGCGAAAGAAAATGGAAGGTGGCCTGGGAAGCACCACACACAAAGTGTGACATCTATGGCAAGTGTGGAGTATTTGGAAGCTGTAATTTGATGAATTCTCCTATTTGCCGGTGCTTGAAAGGATTCAAACCAAAATACAAGTTAGAATGGAGTAAAGGACATTGGGAAAACGGGTGCATGAGAAAAACATCATTGCAATGTCAGAGAGGAAGTGAAAAAGAAGACGGGTTTTTCAGGGTGAAGGCAGTAAAGGTTCCAGACAACCCTGCATGGTTAATTGGATTGGATGAAAATGAATGCAGAAACCAGTGCTTACAGAATTGTTCTTGTATAGCTTATGTATTTGATACAAGTATTGGATGTATGTCATGGGATAGAGACTTGATTGACACAGAAAAGTTGGCTGCAGGTGGTGTGGATCTTCACCTAAAACTGGCACATTCCGAACTAGGTACAGTATCTTTTCTTGTCCGACATATCTTGATGTATGCTTAGAGGTAGCAATACAGTTTTTAAAACCATTTGATTCAGGTCATATTTGGATGGTAAGTCATTCGGTGCTTTTTGGGTTAGGTCATATTTGGATGGTAAGTCATTCGGTGTTTTTTGGAAATATTGTGGAGCTAATTCATTATGGTTTGCAGGGAACAGCAGTAGAGCAGTAGCAATTATTGCAGCAACAGGGAGCTTACTAGGAGCAGCTACAGTTGTTACTCTTATACTTGTTCTGTGGAGAAGCAAAGCCCATAAGAAGCAAGGTAAGACATTCATAGTTGCAGTCAAAATAGCTTCAATTCATTAGAACATTAGAAGAGCATAACCTAATGTTTCTGCGGTTTTTGAATTTAACATCTCAAGGAAAGAAACTTCAGAGGAGAAAAACAGTTACAGATATTCTTGGAATAGACGAAAACCAAGATCAAGTTGAGGAGGTTCCACTGTTTGAATTCGAAGAGGTGGTAACAGCAACAAACAACTTCCAGGACACTAACAAGCTTGGAAAAGGTGGATTCGGTCCAGTTTACAAGGTAACTAATTTTCTGATGAAAAAAGTCACAAACATAAAGGTGTAAAACTCACTTTAGAATTTGGATTTGTAGGGAACATTAGAAGATGGACAAGAAATTGCAATCAAGAAACTTTCAAAAGCCTCAGGACAAGGAGTACAAGAGTTTATGAATGAGGTGCTGGTGATATCTAAACTTCAGCACCGAAATCTTGTCAGACTACTGGGCTGCTGTGTGGGAGGAGATGAGAAGATGTTGATATATGAATACATGCCAAACAAAAGCTTGGACTCACTTCTCTTTGGTTTGTATCACAATATCTGACATAATCTTGCATTCATTATTAGTAGTCAAAAATACAAATTTAATCCACTAATTATGACTTCTCTATTAATCACAGATCCGGTGAAGAAGGAGCTACTACCCTGGAAGATACGCTACGACATCACTCATGGAATATGTCAGGGACTCCTTTACCTTCACAGAGATTCTAGAGTAAAGATTATTCATAGAGATCTTAAAGCAAGCAACATTTTGTTGGATAAAAACCTGAATCCGAGAATTTCAGACTTTGGCATGGCCAGGATTTTTGGGGAGAAACAAGACCAAGATGACACCAGAAGATTGTTGGTACATAGTAAGTACAAAAAACATGCATGTTCATTCTAGTTTTCATTTATCTTTGAACTCAGAAAGTCATGTTTCGATTGATAATGCAGTGGATATATGTCCCCTGAGTATGCAATGGAAGGGCGATTCTCAGAAAAGTCAGACGTATTCAGCTTTGGAGTCTTGTTATTGGAGATTGTAAGCGGACAAAGGAATAGTATTTTCTGGTACGAGGAGGATTCCCTAAGCCTGCTAGGATATGTAAGTCTTTTATAACATTAGAATTATTCAATTAGGAAATGCTTCGTACATTGACTGGCTGACTCGTGACTAAATCACCTGTTTTTCTCTCAGGCATATAAATTGTGGAAGGAGAACAATGTTATTTCTCTCATTGATCCAGCCATTGCTGATACATACTTCTCCGGACAGTCCGAAGAGATTCAGAAGTGCATACAAGTCGGCCTATTATGTGTAGAAGAATCTGCTCAAGATAGACCAAATATCTCTACTGTTATCTCAATGCTTCGAAGTGAGTTAGCAAATGTTCCACATCCAAAACCACCTGGCTTCAGTCACAGTCAGAAAATAAGGATGTCGGTTCATCTTTCGGACAGAGCCAACAGAGTTCATCTACGAATCATGCCGCTGTTACACTTGTAAGCGCCCGATAACACAGGGAATGTAACTAGCTAACATGGTTTCCTAGGCCAATGTGTTGTAATCTAGTACTATTGCTTATAAATTACATTATTAGCTCGAGTGATGCCTTGAGTTCTTGAAGTTAGAGAAGGGATTATATTATGTGGTAAATGAACAATGCCTTAAAATTTAACAAGTATATCTTGCAGAATAAACATCCATCTAATCTAACATCCATCTAATCTAACATATTAATTAGGAAAGCAAAAATCTGTTTTCTAAATTGTATCAAGTTAAACGTGCTGTATCTTGCCACTTCAGTACAATAGATATCAGACAAATCAAACAGGACCTCTGTTAACATTTTTGTCTTGCAGCAGGACAGCGACGACCATTTTGTAACTTGCCACTTTTACCTAGCTAGTTTAGTACAGAGTAGCAATAATTCAATGGCCTCACTTCTCCAATAGTGAATTAGACTAAAAATAACCAGTACAGCATTGATACACACACTAAAGTCTACTCCCTAGATATTCGACCTCCTAGCTGCACATTGTAACCTTCCAGCACCAAAGTTTGACATCAATTTTTATCCTTGAATCGCCACTACCAGTCTTGCGAAATTATAGTGAAACGCTAAACATCGCCCGCAATTTACCATATAAAGCCCACAAATATGATATGATTTGACCATTATGCCCTTTTTCTAAAATTGAAATAATCTCGGTGTAAAAAATGTGGAGCCGTACTGGCTCGCCGGGGGAGACCGGATGGCAGGCCGGAGATGCGGGGGACGCCGGAGGTACGTCGTCGTCGACGGAAAACGAGGTAAGTCACCGTTAAAATTCACGGTTTATCGTCGGAGTGGCTCCGGCGCCTAGGGTGGACGCCCAAACCGTAGCCTGGACGTCCAAGCCGGACGCCAGAACCACCAGAGTGGCGTTCAGCCCAGACGCCCAGACCACCAGACTGGCGTCCTGGGCAGACGCCACTCCACTGGGTGAGGCGGCCCTGCCAGGCGCCAGTCCAGTGGCTGTGGCAGCCCTGGCAGACGCCACCTTTAATAATTATTTTTTTTTTCTTTTTTGATTTTGTTGTTGTTTTTTATTTAATTTTTTTGTAAAAAAAAATCGAAAATGATTTTTTAAAAAAATTCGAAATGGGTTTTTTGTAAATTAAATTTGAAAATTCGAAATAGGTTTTTTTAAAATTAAATTTGAAAATTCGAAATGGTATATTTTGAAATTTAGTTTGAAAATTCGAATTGGGTTTTTATAAAAATTAAGTTTGATTATATATAATTATGTTTTTTTTTGTGTTAATTCTGTGGAAATATAGAAATTAAATGTATTATCCGTTAAATGTATTTATTGTAATATATAATTGATGCAGGAATATGGTGGAGACGGAAATGATTACAGTGGGATATTTGGACATGATGGTCCATTCGAAGAAGCTCAACAGGCGATTGATTGGGCAAAACAGGTTGCAATTGCAGCTGGATTTTGCTTGGTAGTAGCAACTCATAAATCTCAACGGGATGGTAGAATGGATCGCATTTTGAGATGTGACCGTTATCGCAAAAGAGAAGAAAGAGATTTTCGTACAGCCACTCGGTTTGACACAAAGCGGAAAGGTTGTGGGTGTGAGTTCAGAGTAAAGGTTCGACAACTACGGAGTCGTGACGGTTGGGAAGTGATAGGTTACTCTAAATGGGGGTATCACAACCATGAGATGATAGTATATGAAGAGGGTCATCGACAACTGAGCGGCTTAAGTCCTGCTGCGAAACTAGTTGTGAAAGAAATGAGTGATGCTCAAGTGAAGCCTGCTAAAATATTAGCATCTGTGTTAGAGAAATTTCCAGAAGACCATCCAAACCGAAGACACATCTACAACGTCAGACAGCAACTCAGGTTTGAACGGTCAGAGGGAAGGAACCCTATACAGCAGCTGCTACACCAGGCACAATCACGTGGTTACCTGTTCTGGTTTGATTCTGATGAAGATACAGCGGAGGTGACTCATCTTTTCCTTGTGCATCCTGATTGTGCTGATATGATCAAGTCTTGGCCATTTGTGATTTTGATCGACTCAACGTACAAGACAAACAAGTACAAGTTCCCTCTGGTTGAGATGGTTGGGATGGCTCCAACGAACCAGAACTTTCTGATTGGTCATGCAATCATCAGGGATGAGACGGCTCTAAGTTATTATTGGGTGTTGGAGAAGCTGAGAAACTACATCGGGCCTAATGTTCATCCAGCAGCCATCGTCAGCGACTGTGAGGGAGGTCTCTTTGCCCCCATAGCAGAGCTGTTTCCCGAATCGAACCACTTATTGTGCACATGGCACATCAACAACTGCGTGAAAGTGAAAGCCTACAACCTTTTCAAGAAGAATTTGGAAATGGCAGAGAGATTGGTGAATGGTAAGTGGCGGAAGATCCTACAGGCTACCACAGAGGAAGCGTATGAGCGAGCATTGGCTAACTTCAGGGATTCGTACCAGTGGTGTCCGGCACTGGTGGACTATGTGATGCATCAATGGGTCCCTCACAGGGAAAAGTTTGTCAAATATTGGACAAACCAGGTACATTTTGGGAACACTACAACATGTAGAGTTGAGAGCGCTCATAGAGCTACCAAGGACTGGATTGATTCATCGACCGCTGCTTTGGATACACTGTTCGCTAGACTGAACAAGTCAATTGAAACTCAGAAGAACGACATCAGGAACTCTCTAGAGGACTCCAGACGACGACATGGTACGATGTATAGCCATTTTATATTTAAGATTCTCCATGGTCGTGTGTCGCACTACTGCTTGGGGTTGATTCTCACTGAGCTGAACAGGGTGAGGGACTTGGTTGACGAAGTGTATGCTCGGTGTGGGTGTACTATTTCAGTAACTCATGGATTACCTTGCGCATGCACCATTCACCGCGTTATTACAGAAGAAAGGGCGTCGTTACATGTTGATCAGGTCCATTCATTCTGGAGGACGCTTGTTATTGGTGAGCATGCAGACAATCAAACGGCCGACCGTGAACAGGAGGAGTTGGAGCAGTTCCGTTCGATGTACGACCGAGTGTCCTCCAGCCATCCTTCTATTATTCGTGACGCTACTCATGTACTTCATGACATGTTCCACCGTCTAACTTAGATTATGAGGAACCCGAAGGAGTTGACCGTCCTCGAGGTCGACAACGGCGGAACAGGAGTGCGTTTGAGTATATCCGTGGTCTTGGTCGTGGTCGTTCTCGTGGTCGGACATCGTCATCTAGTCGTAGTCAATCTTCATCGTCTGTGAATATGCCCCTGAGAACTGGTACGTTTTGGTTGTTTTTATTGCACAAAGTTTTAAAGTGTTACTCCTGCCTTCTTAACTGTCTATAATTAATTATATGGTGAATAGGAAGAAACGATGTTGATCAGTTTCCGTACAAGGAAAGGATACCTGTGATCATCATGTCGTACTTGGAAGGGTGGAATGATGTAATCGGAGATGGTAACTGCGGATTCCGGGTCGTGGCTGATGTTTTTCAAATGGGCGAAGACAACTACGGTTTGGTGCGTGAGTTGATGTACAGCGAAATTGCCTCTAACCGAAATGTTTATCGTCATGTGTACCAGGATGACTTGGATGGCGCTCTGCGGCGTATCCGGTGGGGAGGTGGACCTTGCGGCGAAAATCATTATTTTGACGCGCCCCTAGATCTGTTTGCCGTTGCAAACATTTACAAATGCGCAGTCATGCATTTCGGCCTGGGAGTGCATAGTCAAGCTTATTATCCTTGTACCACGGTTCTCCCTTGGCGGTCGCGTGAGACTGTCACCACACCGGTCAGAGAGCTAGCTATTGCGTTTCTTGGGTCGTCATACAGACATTTCATCCGACTAGACATGTCAACCGATTTTCCGGTGCCACCGATTATACCTCGGTGGTACAACATTCGCACAGCGAGCGTAGAGGGTTGGGATGCGCTATATAATGACCGGATCCACGAATGGAACACCCTAGCTGCATTTTAGTTTTTCATGTTTACATTCTTTATTTGTAATCTTATTTGTACGTTGCTCTTTTAATGAGAACATTAATATTTTATATTGTATTGCTTACTGCATTCTATATGTTGCATGGGTAAGTTACGCGGATCCACGAACGGTTATATCAAAATTTAAAAACAGCACTGATAATATGTTTAAGTTGGAAGCTAAAAGAACAATCTAAAATGTTACAATTTTACAACATAATGTCCAACATAATGCTCTATAAATAAAATACAATAACCATCAGTAATCCCTCCTCGACGACGACTCCCACTGCGCAAGGGTCTGTTCCAGACTATCAACAACGGCTGTCCTTCTCAAGAGAGAGTTTCTGTACGTCTTGCATTATCTTTCCCATCCACTACATACAACAAAAAACAGAAGATGAAATACAATAACAACAAATAAAACTTAATTAAAAGACAACGATAAATATAATAAAAGACATACCGCTTCCGTGGCAGTAGGCGGTGGCACATAATCATCATCGCTGTGGTCGAGATCAGCGATCAACCTCGGGTGCGAATACCGGTTGAACCATTCCATGTAGTAATGGTCACACATGGGAGTAACCCCATAGGGCGGCCGCTGCAACTCCGCAGTCCATAAGCGGGCCACCATCGGAAACTGGTCCCACGTCCCGGTCATGATATCCGGCCATTCCACGACGTACTCCCTCGACGATGCAGGTCGGACTGCCTTCATCGGGCACGCCGGGGGAGGAGGGACAACTTAGACAAATCCAAGCTGGCGAAGACAACGCTGGGGCATGTACGTCTCGACGATGTCACGATACTGAATGAGTCCCGTGTACAGGGTCCTGGGTACCCTAACACTAGGGTTCGGGCCGAAAGGCATCCAGTTCACCTGTACAATAACAACATATAAAATTTAATAACATGAATATAATATGTGCAAATAATAAAATGTAGACTCTATAAATAAACGTTACCTCTAAGGGGACAGCCTGTCCAGCAATAACCGTATCGATCGGAGGCGGTCAACGGATTTCTTCTCCGAGCGCGGACTCCACGCACAAGCACGCGGCATCCCCTCATCAATAGGAACTGGGTCACGATGTGGTCGCAATGCAGGAAAGTACTCGTATATCCAGGTCTGCAATAGAGTCAGACACCCAGTGATACCTGCCGCGTCAGCCCGACTCGCAAATCCTAGTTGGCGATACAAATACGCCAACGTAGCCAATCCCCAGGAAAACTGGCCTACACTGTCGGGGTCACACGCCTCTACGATGTCGCGTGGCCTGAGCTTGTTTCCGCCGCTCTTATCCGGAAACAAGGTACATCCGAGGAGTAGAAAAACATAAGCACTCAGCTGTGCGTCGGGCGTCCTACGTGCACTCGGGTACAAACACCGCTGCAACACGGATGCGATCTTCACACCTCCGTGTTCCCAAACACCTAGCGCCTCGGTGTACAGTGCAGTCCTGTCCACCGCCAACAACTCCGCCAGCGAATCTGCCTGATCCGCATCAGCCACAGCACAAAGTCGTTTACCCTCAACACGAATCCCCAGAATGGCCTCGACGTCATGTAACATGATCGTCATCTCACCGAACGGAAGGTGGAAAGAGTTTGTATCCGGCTGCCATCGCTCAATGAAAGCCGTGATCAGCGTACTGTCAATCTTATCGTGCATGGTGGCAGGAACGTGCTTCACCCCAGTGCTCTCCAGTCGCTCGAACATCTCGCTCTCCGCCGGCCAGGCCTCAGCCCATGTACGCAAAAAGCTACAAGTCTTTTCCCGGGTATGACATTTCAACAACCCCGTAACTGAAGGCCTCCCTGGTCCTCCCAAATACGGGCAGCTATGTGTCCTAGAAAGCTAGGAATCACACTCCCGTCAACAGGCCCACCGGGCACCTCACTCCTAACAACCCAATAATCATTACCGGCCCTCGACCGTTTCCTGCTTGCCCCAGATACAGTGGACGCAGATGATGTGCCAGATCTACTAACAAACCTACCACCCCTACCCTTACGCACCTCCACCATATGCGTCTCGTACATGTCATCAACCCTCTGACTGAATGGACCGTAATCATCATACGGTCCACTGCCATCGTCCACATCCTCATCCTCATCTGCGCCCTCCTCCTGCTCCTCCTCCTGGTCACCCTCCTCAGCATCATCATCGTCATCGTCATCCTCATCCCGACGGTGGATCCGTTCTCTACGAACTGAGGCCGAAATACCACGGGATCTGACATGTCTATTCCCCGACCTCTCCACTGAATAACTTCTACTAAGAAGCTCTATATTCTTCCCCGCACCATGACGACCCTACACAAAATTTTAAAATATATAAACATACAAAAATTTATACGATAAATAATCATCATCGCAAATCAAATAAACTAAAAACATACAAATAATTGTAAACAAAATATAAACGTAGAAAAAATACAACGAAATTGAAAAAATTTATAAAAATAAACAACAAAATATAAAAACAATTCAAAATTATATTACAAAAAAAAAAAAAAAAAATTAAAAACAATTTTTTAAAAAAATTAAAAAAAAAAAAAAAAAAAAAAATTGGGGGGAAGGGGGGCGCCCTGGGTGGACGCCCAGCCGGCGGTGGTGGCGCCAGATGCAGACGCCGCCACCAGTTGGCTGGCGCCTGGGCTGGACGCCACAGCCACGGCTGCGGCGCCTAGAATAAACGCCACAACCGTGGCTGTGGCGTCCAGCCCAGGCGCCAGCCAACTGGTGGCGGCGTCTGCATCTGGCGCCACCACCGCCGGCTGGGCGTCCAGCCAGGGCGCCCCACCGCGTTCACGGCGGTTTTCCCCTTTTTTTTTTTGTTTTTTTTAAACAAAATGTACCTTTCCTCCTTGGGACATCCTTCCCTCCGCCGCCGCCGCCACTTCCTTGCCTTGCCGCCTCGACATTGCCGTTATTTGAAATTTTTTTTTTTTAGAGAGGTTGAAAGAAGATGAGCAATGAGAGTGTGAGTGTGTTTTTTTTTTTTTTAAGGTCAAGGGCAATTTTGGAAAACCAAGTGAATTTTGTGGGCTTTATGTAGTAATTTGTGGGCGATGTTTAACAAATCCCAAATTATAAGCCACATTTCTAGTTTAGGTCGTCTCAAACTAATGGACTCGACTTGTTGCAGCTGGTAGGGATGGAAATAGTATGCTGCTTAGTCAAAGATTAGCAATTTTTGGGTAACATATTCCCATTAATGTTTTTGGATGACTTATCATGCTTTAGGGATACATTTTTGCTACCTTTTTGCCAAAATGTACTTCAAACAATGTCATGTAATGATTTTCCTCTTTAATTTAAAACCACAAATAGATGTCCCAAGATAAAAGTAGTACTACTTTGTTTCTAATCATCCTCAGATTTTTTACAGCTTTCATGGTGGGTGAAGTCTCCCTTTGATGATAGTTACTGTACTACATAAAGTGGGATTCACCCATGAATATCACAGAGTTAGTGCATCCTACAAGGACCCCCCTTGTCTAGGGAATGATAGATGCATATCGAGTAAAAGACTACTCATCCAATATCGAGGACTTGGTCATTTTAGGATGATAGCTATCAAACTTAGAATACAATTTTGGAAATATCGTTACAAAAATGAAAAGTTAAATACATCAGTACATTATTCTTTTTAGAGCAAAATTGATAAAATGAGCAAATAGACTACCTTACTAGATTCGCCCGACACCCACCCTAGTTCCTACTAAACTTCATATAAGTCCCTAATCAAGAGGTGGATTAAGATACTACAAATGAAAAGCTCCGGTCTCACACAAACGAGTAAAACCAATAGATACCTAATTCTATAATAAACTAAAAACTAAATCAAAGCTTAGTAATAGCAATATTGAATTGATCAAATATACACTATTACTTCATTCCCCTGTTAACCAAAGTGTGCATCTCATCCAGATAAGGCAAACATTATGAGGATCTTGACCTCCCATTAAAAATCAAATCCACAGTGAGTAGTGGTAGTGCAACATGATGAATCATCATTAAAAATCAAATCAACAGTGAGTAGTGGTAGTGCAACATGATGAATCATACTAGTGCAACATGATGAATCATACTCTCAGCAACAAAAGGTAAGTTTGTATTGTCGTCATCTTCATCACTTACTAAGATTAGAAAGTTATGGTCATAAATCAGCCACAAATTAAATAGAAAATTAATCAGCTAACACATATCTTCTTTCTGGAAATTATAAAGATAGTAAAATGAGGTTTTTTTTTGTGTTTTTCATTTCAGTTGTGTAAGTCAAAATCATGATCATTGATGAACATTATTAGATGGACCAAGTCTTCCACTAAGATCAGTACCTCTTCCAGTAAAATCGCAGACAACGACTATTCTGTGTAATGCACTACAAATGAGACATCCTATAACCCTCACAATTTGTCTATACATCGTAAATTTGGGGTTACTGTACCCACCTAAAAACATGAACTTGGAAAAAAAAACTGTATTATAGATTCAGAAATTCATAAAAAGGACCCTGAAACTATAGTCTCTGAAAACTCAAGCAATGACTGCTCTTCATACAATATTTCTTCTTTTTTGCTGTATTCAAAGATCTGTCTCCGTGACAAACACCCTAAATGGAACAAAATTCCTGAAGGACCTTGAAACTATAGTCTCCAAAAACAAGATTTTCACTCTAGGATTCTTCAGCCCTCCTACTTCTTCCAAACGATACGTGGGCATATGGTACAGTAAGCCCTCTGTAAGAGATGTTATATGGGTAGCAAACAGGAATAACCCACTCAATGATTCTTCTGGGGTTCTGAAGATATCAAAGGATGGCAATCTCCAAGTGCAGAATAGTAGAAATGAAATCCTTTGGTCCTCAAATGTCTCGAGTTTTTCAGCTGAATTCTTAGCTGCTCAGCTTCTGGATTCAGGCAACCTAGTTCTGCAAAGCAGCGAGGAGATCGTATGGCAGAGTTTTGATCACCCTACAGACTCTTTCTTACCAAACATGAAACTTACTGTCACCAAAAATGGGACCGGAAAAAAACCTTTACAGTCCTGGAAAAGCCCATCAGACCCATCTGATGGGCGATTCACTGCAGGAATTGATACTTTTACCCTTCCCCAACTTGTAGTCTGGGATGGGAATCGCACACGCTGGCGAAGTGGTCCATGGAACGGAAATATCCTTATTGGGGTACATTTTGATTTTAAGGACTTCATTAATGCTCAGCTTGTGATTTCTAGTGATAAAGAGGGGACAGTCACTGCAGTATATTTTTATCCGAATGAGTCTCTACTATCAACCTATATGTTAAGCATAGATGGAAATTTGTCACAAATATGGTGGAATGAAATAAAAAGGAAATGGGAGATTGAGTGGCAAGTTCCTACAACAGAGTGTGATGTTTTTGGAAAATGTGGAGGATTCGGAACCTGCAACCCACGAAGACCAACAATGTGCCAGTGTTTGAAGGGTTTTCAGCCGAGAAATAAAACAGAATGGAGCAAAGGGAACTGGAGTGATGGATGCTTGAGGACAACAAGGTTGCAGTGTGATATGGGAAAAGGTGAAGACGATAGATTCTTAAGGATGAAGATGATGAAAGTACCGGAAAATGCTGAGTGGAGGTTAGGGTTGAATCAAGATGCATGCAGAAAACAATGCTTCAAGAACTGTTCTTGTTTAGCTTATGCATATGATGCAGGAGTTGGTTGCATGACATGGAGTACAAGTTTGATTGACATACAAGAATTTTCAGTAGGCGGAGTGGATCTCTACCTTCGTCTAGCACATTCAGAGCTCGGTAAATTCAGTGCTTCTATTACATAAACTCCCATTAGCTACTGAACTAGAGTATATGATTGTGACAGTCAAGTTCCAATTTAAACTGCAGGTACTAATAACAAGAAGAAAGTAACTGCAGCAGTGATAGGAAGCTTTATAGGAATGGCAGTAAGTGCTGTCCTATTCTACTTTCTGTGGAGGCAAAAGGCGCATCAACAAGGTATGATGCATTACCTCATAACACATACCCTGCTGTTTAGAAATAAGAAATCAACAAGGCACTACAGAGTAGATTTTTTGATAATCATAGTCACTAAACTGAACTATACTCAATCATGCGAAAACTGATTCAGTGTAAGCATTTGATTTGCATGTCAACCCAATTATTACAGACATTAACAGAACTGATAAAGCTACTACATTGGTGGGGAGAATTGGAAGAACAAAAAATTTAAAGTTAAATAAAGATTATTTTTGGGGGTGAACATGGTTCATTAGGTGGAATTTATGATTTACAGGGCAATAGTTCTTCTTCCATCCTTTGATTATCATCTACAAAAGCTAAATTTAGTCCAAAATAAGTTATTTTATTTTTCAAAATAAATCTTTTTCTCCTTGATAGTCCACAAACAATTTAATTTACTCCATTTTTAATTTTTTTTTTTTGGTTAAAATGAGTGATTGTTGGGAGTAAATTTTGTATTTTAGTTTGATGGGGTATGGTTAGCTCTATTTGCGTATAATAGAGCTAATTTTAATCATCATAAGTAAATCTTCATTTTATTTTATTTTTTTCATGATGTTCAAAGAGGATGCATGACCTTAGTTGCTAATGTATATATAGTTCTTACAACCCATATAAGAAGGTTAAAGAATTGAAAACAAATTTCTAGCGTCGAAATTGTACTTATCTCAGTCCCTAAATTCTTGGTTACTATTGAAGAATTAGCATCTATTATGGTATACAGATGCTAAGAAGAAAATGAAGGTAGACAATTACAAGAAGAACAATATGAACTTCGAAGAGATTCCCCTGTTCAAATTTGAAACGCTTGCAGCAGCTACAAACAATTTCAATGAAAGCAACAAGCTAGGACAAGGTGGTTTTGGTTCAGTCTACAAGGTCATATATTCTACAAAACTAAGATAAGTAATTATTTAGTTAGAGAATAATGCAAAACTCATAATGTGAACAATTACTTACCAGGGAAAGCTACAAGATGGACAAGAAATCGCCGTGAAACGTCTTTCAGGGTTCTCTACACAAGGCCTAGAAGAGTTCATGAATGAGGTCAAGCTTATTTCTAAACTGCAGCATCGTAACCTGGTCAAACTTCTTGGCTGTTCTGTTGAAGGAAAAGAGAAAATGTTGGTTTATGAATACATGCCAAACAAAAGCTTGGATGCGTTTCTATTTGGTAAGTTCTGTTAACTCACAAATCACCATTTAGTTCTCATTTCCATATAGCATTGTTTTGCATAAGTACCATCAGTCACCAAATGCAGGAAATCAAAAGGATTTAGACTGGGACACTAGATTCAACATTATTGAAGGGATATGCAGAGGCCTCCAGTACCTCCACAAAGATTCTAGATTAAGGATCATTCATAGAGATCTGAAGGCGAGTAATATTTTGTTGGACGAAGGACTCAATCCAAAAATTTCAGACTTTGGAATGGCAAGAATTTTTGGGGGTGACCAAGATGAAGCTGACACTCGACGAGTTGTTGGGACATAGTAAGTTTTTCATACTTTAGACTTCAGTCATCTAAACTCAGAATGAATTATGTAATCAGTTCATTCATTACTGAAATACAAGTTCTGAAACTACAGCGGCTACATGTCTCCAGAATATGCAATGGAAGGGCTATTCTCAGAAAAATCTGATGTATTTAGCTTTGGAGTATTATTGCTGGAGATTCTGAGTGGAAAAAGAAACAGTGGCTTCTCGGATGATGAGGATTCCCTCAGCCTTATAGAAAACGTAAGTTCTCATACAACTACAAGTTTACTGCTTCATATAATCTATCTCCAACATAAAGTTTGATTCTGTTGTTACATCTCAGGCATGGAAGTTATGGGAAGAAAAGAACATCATGTCATTGACTGATCCAACGATTTCGGAACCTCCACATGAACAGGTTATTATTAGGTGCGTACAAATTGGACTATTGTGCGTGCAAGAATTTGCAAAGGACAGACCAGATGTACCTACTGTCATCTCTATGCTAGACGGGGAGATTTTAGATCTTCCAAATCCAAAGAGACCAGGATACGTCCATATCAATCGGAACATCTCCTACTCTCAACAGAAATCTTCCATAAATCATATATCTATTACAGAGATTAGAGGACGGTAAGTGAGAATTGTGTAAGACAATGAAGGCAGTGCCAGAAAGTGAACTGTCAAGCTTGCGGTCGCTGAGTTTCACATCTTAGCTCAATAAAAGAACATGTATTATAGTTTTAAAGAAAATAAGAAAATTCAAATAAAAATTAATAATAATAACAGTATTTTATTGATCTCAAGTTTTTATGATAGATCAGGTTTATAAGATTCAGACAACTCACACTCGGCTTTGAATGAATAATATCTCTGTACTTGTATTTAAGACAGAAAGAAGTGTCAAATGTCCACACCTATGTAGGAATGGTGAGGTGATATTAAGAGTCTATGTAACAAGTATAGAGAAAAATGAAAATATAGAACGAACATTACTTCTATCTGTTCGAAGATGATACTGTGGTTGATGAATGTCGCACTCTAAAGAGCAATATAATCATTAAACAACACAGTTTCCAATCTACATAATCCTTAATGGTTGTACTCTAAGATACTATAACTAACTTAATCTTGCAAAAAAAAAAACCAAATTCGACATAATGCTTAGCTTAATTACGTCGTAAAAACACACACAAAATTTGACATAATAATCCTTAGTACAATCTACATCTATATTATTCAGTATAATAGAACATAACAACATATTGAATGTCACTTAATACTTTGTCCTTTTGTAATGTTTTTGTTTCCTACTGTCGACACTTTCAATTTTAAAACCTTCTCTTTTCTACTGTATTACATAAACGAAAGAGTGAAAGACCAAACATTAAAATTAAGACATAGTAACAGAGTATCAGATTTTTTTACTAGTACTGTCTAGAAGCTAATACATCAAAATTAAAGTTCCAAGAAAAATTATTTCAACTTAATTTTTGAATTATACCCATAAACAGCTGACTTGGTCACTTCAGGTAAACATCAAAGCATACAGCCAAGTTTTTTTATGCAAAAATTTTCAGCCCACATTCTTTGTTCTGGGCCCATGTGTAATCTTTTCTTCCAAAGTTTCCATGGAATTTAAAGCAAAATATCTACAACAGCTGAAGTCACAAAAAAAACTACTGCTATTAAGTTCAATAAAATGGCTACCTAAATACGAAGATTGTAATTAGTTCCACTCACCAATATCAAATGAAACCGAATCCCATGTACTGTATCTATTCAACACTGTTGTTTTCTTTCCTTCTACTGCAACAAAGCACAGCCCTTGATAAAATCACAGAGACCGAGTTTCTTAATTATCCAGAAACTATTGTTTCCAGTAATGGGGCTTTTAAACTGGGGTTCTTTAGCACCCCTAACTCAACACACCGTTATGTAGGGATCTGGTACAACAAACTCCCTATGAATAACGTTGTGTGGGTGGCCAATCGGAACAACCCTCTGAAAGATTCTTCTGGTGGAACAATCAGAATTTCCGAGGATGGTAATCTTCAAGTCCTAAATGCTCAAAATCAGACACTTTGGTCCTCAAATGTCACCATTTCCAGCCAAACTAATAGAAATATAGTCGCCGAAGCACATCTCTTAGACACCGGCAACCTAGTTCTGGTGGGACTTGAGGGCAAGAACTTATGGCAGAGTTTTAACCACCCGACTGATACAGCTTTGCCAAATATGAAAATTACTGTCACCAAGAGTTCTGACGGAAGGAAGATGTTACAGGCATGGAATGGCCCTTCAGACCCCTCTTATGGGAGGTTCTCTGTTGGCATTGATTCTTTTGCCTTCCCTCAACTTGTCATATTTGATGGTGATCAACCCTATTGGAGAAGTGGTCCGTGGAATGGACACATCTTTACTGGTATAACAAATAACGAGACTGACGATTTCAATGATGCTGGATTCAACCTAGAGAATGACAGGCAAGGTACCATTTCTTTGACATATTCTTATACTAATCAGTCAGTGCTATCTAACTATGGGTTGAGCTACCAAGGGACTTTGACTCAACGATGGTGGGATGAAAATGAGAAAAGATGGAAGGTTGCGTGGGAAGCTCCACAAACAGAGTGTGATCTTTATGGCAAGTGTGGAGCATTTGGAAGTTGTAATTTGCAGAATTCACCAATTTGCCGGTGTTTGAAAGGATTCAAACCAAAGAATAAGTTTGAATGGAATAAAGGTAAGTGGTCAAGTGGGTGCACAAGAAGAAAACCATTGCAATGTGTGAGAGGAAGTGGAAAAGAGGATGGTTTTTTCCGGGTTAAGGCAGTTAAGGTGCCAGACAACTCTGACTGGTTAATTGGATTAGATGAAGATGAATGCAGAAACCAGTGCTTGAAGAATTGTTCATGTCTAGCTTATGTATATGATTCAGGTGCTGGGTGTATGTCATGGAACAGAGATTTGATTGACACGGAAGAGTTGTCTGCAGGTGGGGTGGATCTTTACCTAAGGCTGGCGCATTCTGAGCTAGGTACTAGGCTTTTGATTGACATGTTGTCAGTGTTTTCTATACTTATCTTTTAGCAGGAACCATACTGAAGCTCCGATGCATTATGGTTTGCAGGGAACAACAGGAAAACGGTAGCAGCTATTGCAGCAACAGGGAGCTTAGCAACAATTGTAGTTGTTTCCCTTATTTTAATTCTGAGGAAGCGCCAGACCCTAAAACAAGGTAATTTTTTCGTTGTAAATAGTAATAATGCTTCAAAGATTCAATGATTCAGCAGAAGAGCATAACCTAATTTTTTGTATTTACTGAAAATTTAACATCTTAAGGAAAGAAACTTCAGAAAAAACAAAGAGTGTCAGATGCTCTCAGAATAGACAATATTCACAATAACCATGATCAGATCGAAGAGGTTCCGCTATTTGATTTTAAAAGGGTGGTAATGGCTACAAACAACTTCCAGGACACTAACAAGCTAGGAAAAGGTGGATTTGGTCCAGTTTACAAGGTAATCAATGTTCAAATGGCTGTCCTCTTAGCCGAGAAAAGTAGGAACGTAAAAGTGTAAGGAAATCACTTTAAGATTTGGTTTTGTAGGGAAAATTAGAAGATGGACAAGAAATTGCTGTCAAGAAACTTTCAAAAGCCTCAGGACAAGGAGTAGAAGAGTTTATGAATGAAGTGTTGGTAATCTCTAAACTTCAGCATCGAAATCTTGTCAGACTTCTTGGTTGCTGTGTGGAAGGAAAAGAGAAGATGTTAATATACGAGTATATGCCAAACAAAAGCTTGGATTACCTGCTTTTTGGTAAGTATTATATTTTATGTGACGTCACTTTGCATTCATTAACTAATCATATACTACTATACAAGTTTTATTAATCCACAATAAATCCTTAAATACCAAATGATTTATCTCCAGATCCGATGAAGCAAGACCTACTACCCTGGAAGAAACGCTACAACATCATTCAAGGAATATGTCAAGGACTCTTATACCTACACAGAGACTCTAGATTAAAGATCATTCATAGAGACCTCAAAGCAAGCAACATTTTGTTGGACAAAAACCTAAATCCAAAAATTTCAGACTTTGGCATGGCCAGGATTTTTGGAGGAAAACAAGAACAAGATGACACAAGAAGGATTGTTGGAACATAGTAAGTACTTACCTCCCACCCCCACCCACTACCACCTCCAAATAGGAAGCAGAAAAATGCATGCTCATCTAGTTCTGAACACTAAAAGCCATGTCTTGACTGATGTAGCGGATATATGTCTCCCGAGTATGCAATGGAAGGGCGATTCTCTGAAAAGTCAGATGTATTCAGCTTTGGAGTCTTATTATTGGAAATTGTGAGTGGCAAAAGGAACAGTCTCTTCTGGTACGAGGAGTCGTCCCTGAGCCTGCTAGGATATGTAAGTTTTTATGACATTGTATGGTCTATATCCACTTCCATCATATATACAATCTATTGAATGACCTCATGTCTAACTCCTCAATTTTTGTTCTCGTCTATCAGGCATATAAATTATGGAAGGAGAACCATGTTTTATCATTCATTGATCCAAAGATTGCAGAAACATGCTTCTTGGGAGAAGTTCAAAAGTGCATACAGGTGGGCTTATTGTGTGTGCAAGAATCTGCTAAAGATAGGCCGAACATGTCTACCGTAATCTCATTGCTACACAAGGAAGATGCAAATCTACCCCAACCTAATCAACCTGGCTTCACTCACAGTCAAAAATCTAAAAATGTTGGTTCCTCCTCCGAACAGAGCCAACAGACTTCATCTACAAACTATGTCTCTGTAACAGCTTTGAGTGCTCGATAACAAATGCATTCTGTAGACCACATTCAATGGATAGACATGTAATTAGTTAACATACTCTTATTCATTAGGGTTTTGTTTTACAAGAAGACTGCCCTAATCTGTGTATTTTTCCATACCAAAATAAGAAAAAGGTAGGCCTGTATCTGGTAGCAAAATGTGCTTTTACAGTTTTACTTTGCAATGAGCCAGAACTAGATTTACATAGATAATCCTTTCCTTGTAAGCTGCAACATAAAATTACCCATCAAGGGTTTGCTCCCATATCTTAATTATTAATTATATAAGCCGTCTAATTATAAAACCAGATAAGACAATGATAATGAACTCTGAATCCTAGAAGTTCAGAAAGAACTCCCAAAAAATTTACCCCTTAACTAGTTGATCTCCAATAATTCAATATAGACTAATTGGGTTCTGCCGACCAGAAATTCACATTCACAATTGTGCAGTCACCATCCACTCGTCCAGTATCAATTTTTTCTCCATCAACGTATCATTTACATATAGGACTATAAGGCAAGCTCAAAGTGAAAACCACACATTCCATAAACCAACATTATCTCCACACCTCTTCCTGACCCACAAGTCGACATTGTTTCAGGGACAAATTTCTGTTCACATTAGAAAGTCTTTTATCACTTGAGCCTCATTTCTAAAGGAAAATTTCTCGAGCAATCATCACAAAAAACAAAAATAAAAATATTTCACAAAAACTTCATGTCAAAGTAATGGACCAGCCCAATCAGAAATAGAAGGAAAACAAAAAAAAATGTTAAATCAATTGGATTTTGTCTACTTGTGTCTGCAGCTTCCTGTAATTTTCTAATTCTATACTCGTCGACTACACACAGACAATTAGTTCAATTAAGACATACAAATTTCCTTAGCATGATAAACAGATTTTAACTTCCATTTTGGTGTGTAGTTCAAAGTCAAGAGCTCAAGATCATCCAAGCAAGTCTTCCAACACACCAGAAATATCAAGGACAGCGACTTAATCTGTGTAGTGCACCACAAAAGAAGCATCTGGAAATACTTAACATGTTTTCTACCCATCGTAAACTTGGGGTTATGTAAATACCTTAACTTTATAAAGTTGATATAAATGTGTTATGAACGATTCAAAATTCATTGAAAGAAATTAAAACCCCAATTCCACTTTTTTACCAAGAATTAAAATATACCTAAACTAAAAAAGAGCAAATGACTGCTCTCTGTGCACTAATACTCCTTTCTTGCTTTATGCTAAAATCTTCTTGCACAACAGATACCATCAATAACACAATATTTCTCAAAGATCCTGAAACTATAATCTCAAAAAACAACAATTTTGCACTTGGATTTTTCAGTCCCGAAAATTCCACTAAGCGTTATCTGGGAATCTGGTACCATAAGCCCTCTGTAAGAGATGTCATCTGGGTAGCAAACAAGAACAAACCACTCAATGATTCTCCTGGAATTTTGAGGATATCTAAGGATGGAAATCTCGAAGTGCAGGATAATAGAAACAAAATCCTTTGGTCCTCAAATGTCTCAGGTTTAGAAGGTTTTGACTCCCCAACTGCCCAGATTCAAGATTCTGGCAACCTTGTTCTGCAAAGTGGAGGAGAGATCCTATGGCAGAGTTTTGATCACCCAACAGACTCTTTCTTACCAAACATGAAACTCTCCGTCACCAAAAGCAAGAATCAAAAGAAAGCATTACAGTCCTGGAAAAGCCCATCAGATCCATCAGATGGAAGATTCACGGCTGGCATTGACACTTTTAGCCTACCCCAGCTCGTGATCTGGGATGGGGATTATCCACGCTGGCGAAGTGGTCCATGGAATGGAAACATCCTTATTGGAGTACAATTTAATTTCGCGGACTTCATCAATGCTCAACTTGTGGTTTCTAATGATAAAGAGGGAACAATCACTGCAACATACTTTTATCCAAACAAATCTCTACTATCAACTTATATGTTGAATGCAGAAGGGATATTTACACAAATATGGTGGGATGACAAAACGCAGAAATGGGAGGTAGAGTGGCAGGTTCCTGCAACAGAGTGTGATATATACGGGAAGTGTGGAGCATTCGGGACCTGCAACTCACAACAGCCAACAATTTGCCAGTGTTTGAAGGGGTTTCAGCCGAAGAATATATCAGAATGGAGCAATGGAAATTGGAGCAATGGATGCTTAAGGACAACTAATTTGCAGTGTGAGAAAAGAAAAGGTACAGACGATGGATTTTTAAGGCTGAAGATGATGAAAGTGCCAGATAATGCTGAGTGGAGGTTAGGGTTGAATCAAGATGCATGCAGAAGCCAGTGCTTGAACAACTGTTCCTGTTTAGCATACGCATATGATAATGGTGTTGGTTGTATGACATGGAGTACAAGCTTGATTGATGTACAAGAGTTTTCAGTGGGTGGAGTGGATCTCTACCTTCGTCTAGCACATTCAGAGCTAGGTACATTTTATTTATGTGGATTCTCGTTAGTGATTGATCTAGTATTTATGATTGTGGCAATGGTTTTAAATTACAGGTATTAATAATAAGAAGAAGAAAGTACTTGCAGCAGTGATGGGAAGCATTATAGGAACGATGTTAATTGCTGTTTTATTATTCTTTCTGTGGAGACAAAGGGCGCATCAAGAAGGTAAAATGTCTTGCTTTTAATACCAATCATTTTTAGTAGGGTGTATGCCTCCTACCAGGTTACCACCCTTCTGTTTAATGATAAAACTTGATCAAAGTAGTTCATTAATGATGTCTTTTATAAAAAGATTTTCTCCTTCAGAGCACATATAAAAACATTGGTGAATTTATTATTTTTAAATAAATAAAATTAAGATATTGGCCAATTATTCCAAAGCTAATGTGTACTATGAACCATCTTTCAAAAAAAAATGTTTACTATGAACCACAGATGACAAGAAAAGGAAGGAAGACAATTTCATGACTAGTGATGATAAGAAAAGCAATGTGAAATTTGAAGAGATTCCACTGTTTAAGTTCGAAACACTCGCAGCTGCTACAAACAATTTCCATGAAAGCAACAAGCTGGGACGAGGTGGTTTTGGTTCAGTATACAAGGTAATATTTGCATGCAAATAACAAAGATACTTTTTTTTTTTTAGTGAACAATAACATAGATACTATATAGTCAATAGCTTATGATGAAGAAGCATAAAGCTCGATGTTAATGTTATAAAACTAGGGAAAGCTGGAAGATGGGCAAGAAATAGCTGTGAAACGACTTTCAAGGGCCTCTACACAAGGTCAAGAAGAGTTTATGAATGAGGTGAAGGTTATTTCTAAGCTGCAGCATCGTAATCTGGTCAGACTTCTGGGATGTTTTGTTGATGAGCAAGAGAAAATGTTGGTTTATGAATACATGCCAAACAAAAGTTTGGATGCTATTCTATTTGGTAAGTATCATCACTAACTCATCGCTGTTTTGTTCAGTTTCCCAAGTAATAGATAAGCAATTGTAGCATTTCACGTAACTATGATCAATCATCAGTGGCAAAAAAGCAAAAGAATTTGGACTGGAAAACAAGATTCAACATTATAGAAGGGATATGCAGAGGCCTCAAATATCTCCATAGAGATTCTAGATTAAGAATCATCCATCGAGATCTGAAGGCAAGTAACATTCTGCTGGATGAAGAGCTTAGTCCAAAAATATCAGACTTTGGAATGGCAAGAATTTTTGGGGGTGACCAAGACGAAGCCAACACTCGACGAGTAGTTGGGACATAGTAAGCTTCCCAAGTTTCAGATTTTGGTCATCCTTTAATCAGATTGGTTTTTTGTTCATTGAAATAGAAGTTTTGAAACTGCAGTGGTTACATGTCCCCCGAGTATGCAATGGAAGGGCTATTTTCAGAGAAATCTGATGTATTTAGCTTTGGAGTTTTATTGCTGGAGATTCTAAGTGGAAAAAGAAACAGTATCTTCTCAGATGAAGAGCATTCCTGGAGCCTTATAGGATATGTGAGTTCCTGAATATCTTTTAAAAATGTACATCTTTCCTCTACCTCAAGCAATCTCCTCATTAAACCACGACATTGTTTTAATGCTTCATCTCAGGCATGGAAGTTATGGAACGAGAAGAACATCATGTCATTGATTGATCCAGAGCTTTCTGAAGAATCTGAACCTGGCCAGGAAGAGAATATTATGAGGTGTGCACATGTTGGACTGTTGTGCGTGCAAGAATTTGCAACAGACAGACCAAACGTACCTACTGTCATATCTATGCTGAATGGAGAAATTTCAGATCTTCCATACCCAAAGAAACCAGGATTTGCTCATATCACTCAGGACATCACCTCCTCTCAACATAATTTTTCCACAAATTATGTATCTATTACAGATATAAGTGGCCGATAAGTGAGAAATGAGTAAGATGATTAAGACATTCCAAAAGAAGGGTAGCACATTTGCTCTGGCTAAGTTAATATACATTTTCACAAAAAAAAAAAAAATATATATATATATATATATATAAAATAAAAACTATACTCCGTATCATAATTTATAAATGCTGGTTTGCATCTTAAACTTGTGAATCTTTAAATAACATGGCTTTCCAGACCGAGTTTCAAGACTTACAACCTAGTTCCATAATATCTCTATATCACAAGTAAAGTTCCAACCGAATTCTACACTATTTGTGCTTTCTAGGCCTCATTTCACATTAAACCTCATTCTTGAAAATCATACGACAAAGAAAATAAAAATAAAAAAGTTTGTGTTGGTTATCGCCCAAATTTTGTAAGCCCATTATTCTGGTGGAGTATTGTGCATATTTTAGGGCTTCCAAAATAATCAAGCAAGGTCATTACTTGCCCTTGATTTCTGTAGAATAATGAGCATTATTGACATTGGAAGCTATTAGAATATTATAGCTGATTCGTGAATTTTCTAGAACATTATGGATACAAGAATAATGGAGAAATTTCTAGAATATTCCAGCCCTAGGTCATGGGCAATACAACACAACACAAGAAGCCATACCCAAAAAGCCTTCCCACATACTACACCTTGTACTATTTACCTTCTTTACGAATCCACTATTCCTACTTTGTAATACTCCATTGTGAGTTTCTTATAGTGAGATATAGTGAGAGTTCTCTTGTAATACTCACCCTTTTAAGGGTTCCTATACTCTCCTATTTTGAAATAGTGGAATAAAAGTGCATGTCATTACATATAAAATCATATGTTCATTTATATTAATTTATCTTGCCAATTATCAATTCAATTTATACTTCTCAATCAAACACATCACCCACCAACCCTAACACTTTGCTAATGAAAACTTGTAATTCAATCATGTGGAGATTTTTTTTTTTTTTTGAAGACATATAGAGAATTAAGATTACTTCATTTAATTGTCTCTTTAAAGAGGAAAAAAAAAAAGCAGTAAATATTTTATTTGTGTTCTTTCACCCACTAGCAAGAGTAGCAAGCTCAAAGCAAAACAAAACATATGGCTCAATAATGTCTACTCCAAAACAAAACAAAAATAGACCACTCAATTTGAACTTACCTTGATTTACCATATGCAATAATGTATACTCCAAAACAAAACAAAAAAATAGACCACTCAATTTGGCTCTTTCAATTGAAAAAGAAAAGTTGTATCACTAAATACTAGATTTGGAGCAAATCCATATCTTAAAGCAAGTCTATTGTACAAGATAAGTATTTCTAAAAGACAATGATCTGCTCTACCTATAATAAGATTAATCACGGATGCATGCTCACTTTAAGCAATATAAATGAACACAGTCCAGACCTCAATCACCTCATTGAACCAATGCGAGCAATATAAATTAACACAGTTCAGACCTCAATCACCTCATTTAACCAACACGTATCGTCTAGCTACTGCAAAGCATATCTTAAACTCATCACTTAATTCTTGTTTATCTATTGGCTACTATAAAGCATAATCATTTCTTTAAATATAACACATAGACCTCTTTCACATTTTCCATGTCCACAAAAAATCCATAAGGTTGCAGATGACTCATGACTGCTCTATTATGATCTAGGTATCCTCCTCCGTAACATGAGTTTTCCCCAATACCATCACAACTCACAATCATCATGACTCTGCCACCATAATCTCCAGTAAACAGCTAACACTTCTACACTTCTCTGCCAATATAATCCAATATTGACTAGTAGCATTCTGCACTTACACACTAAATTATTCAGTCACTGGATCCACCCACCAAAATTTTACCAATCACTTCATCAGGACCTGGTATAGTAAATTAGTAAGCCTTCCTGACCAATGGGAGAGACTCGGAAGGGACTGAAAAGATATCCGAAAATCTTATACACTACAATGGTTCTGAACAAATAGGGTAGCAAATAAATGTCAAAAACAATCATAATTCCTCACTAAACCAAACTTGATTCTGGGAACTCTTTAAGTCGGATAATAGGGATATCTTATGAGTTAGGCTATTGGTGTAACAGTTAGCCTTTCTAACAAACGGTGAAATGAGAATACCAACCTTAGTTACTATTTGGCTATATAAGAATATCCAAGTGATAGCCCATACCTGAGTTATGTCCGTATATGAAAAGGCAATGGTAAAGTGAATATTTCACCGACCTTTAAATGGCCAACTGTTGATCTAAGAGTTTTTCATATCATGTAGCAGTTTGGTCACCCTACTAATTCTGGATTTCTGCAGATTCTTTACAGCGAAATCCAAAACCTATAGTCTAAGACACTAAGCAAAGCGGCAGTGGCCAGAAAATTGTTTCAGATGGAAGCAAGAGTGATTTCTAGCTAGCCTGGACGCTTTCATACAACCCAGTATGTTACTCCGTATATGAAATGGCGATGCCAACACCAGCATACACACCATAAAATGTTAAACATCTACAATACAGGACAAATAAACCAGACAAGTCCCTACTACTCCATTAGACTGCACGACAATGAGCTCAGAAGGGAAGAAATACCTACAAGTGTGACTTAGACGGACTACAGCAGAAAGTAAGGGCCATTTGGAAATAGGAGCTAATATTCAGAGAGACATAATCTAGATTAAAGCGCAAGTCAAAAGCCACAAATTAAAAATGCCACTGTATGCTAAGTTAAGATTTGAATAAAATAAAGATGGCACTAGTTAACTGTTCATATTAAAAATATGCAAATGATATTGCTATTGGCTGTAAATGGAGTCCAAGCTTGATTGACATACATTCTCAATTAGCAGGAGGATCTCTGTCTTCATCAAGCAGCTTCAAAGCTAAGTAAGTATTTCTACACCAAGAAAAATTAGAACATTTAAAAAAAATTATAAAGGGGAGAAAATTGTCAAAATGTTATCAAATTTGAATTGTATGGTTGCATACCCGAGTACAAAGACTTTAAGATAAGGTCAACATAATGTTCAAATCACATTTAGTTTCAAGTTTCAACAATCGAATTGTGTGGTAGCAAACCCAAGTACTAAGAATTTAAGATGAAGTTGAACATAATGTTCAGATCACATTTAGTTTCAAGTTTCAACAATCTCAGAATGTCATTTCTCTTTTTAATATTCACAACTCAAGTCATTTGGTAATGCATTAGAAAAAATGGTAAGACTAAAATATAAGTAATGCAATAAACAGCTGGAGAATATACATTAGGGACATAACAAACCACAGCTACAATTGAAGCCTTAATACAAAAGCTGGGTTAAACTACATGAGCCAAGAATAATCAAAAATATAAATAAAGGAATAGTACACAGGTAGGAGACAGATCAGAGATCTGAAAATCATGGAGCATTCCACCATTTTAACTTAAGAGGAAACAATAGTCATTGACTACACCTAAAGCATCCAGCAGTCATTTCAACACTGTTCAGGCAAGAGAAAGGAAGTATAATTCATGCATTTCTATGGTCATGACAAATGAGGGATTTGTTCTATGTCTAAACCTAAGTTTGCTTCTGTGTCTGAGATAACCAGCGCCACATCAGCATTTTTCAACAAATAAATGTCTTAGTCAAAGAGGTAAGTGTCAGATAACAGAACAGCCAATATAAGTATGTATGATGAAGTGTATTTGATGTCGAGCAAGCAAGTGACCAACTTGTCAGCTTTTCAGCCATGTGGAAAAAAAAAATACTTAGTGAATGTAGATAGCATAGGCTATCAAAGACAAGCCAATATACTTATGTGAATTATAGTGAAGTCAAGCTTTCTGTTACTATGAAGAATAAAAGAAAGTACTGAGATTGAGCTAATTGCTAAATTCACTAAGTATAAATGTAAAATACCTATGAAAATTAAAATCCAAAACATGTATATACAAGATTTTACTTGGTATCACCCCTAAAAAAAAAGGGGTCAGAAAAAAAAGGGCAATTTATAATACCCTCTGTGATGACATGTATCGAACCCTCACAGATATTAGGTTTGGAATCCTATTATATAGCTATCAGAAATCCCCTGGTAGGTTTTGACAAGCAAACTACAAATAAAGAAATCCCCAATATGGATATACATGATGTAAGTAAGTAATAGAGGTGGCTCAAGAATACTGCAAAGAAACCGATAGAGGACACTGAAAGAAGCCCAAAACACAAAGAGAGGCTACACTCAATATAAAATGAGCATCACCTCAGAAATAAGCCCGAAGCAAGATGCAACATCCAGAATTTACTGAGCAGGTGACTGGCACAAGAAGTAATTTCATCCCTCTCCCACAATCAGCTGTATATTACAAAGTTGAGGAACCCCTAGATTTGTTAGTCTTGTCATCCTGAGAAGAATGTGATGAAGATAACATCGCAGCATGATATGATGAAGACGCAAGCTGAGCCAAGGCTGGAACTGCACCACCTGTAACGTAAAAAAATGATCATGCAAAAAGTTGACTTGTAAACAGAAAGTAAGCTAGGTAACCCTGTCCCCCATCACCACACACCTAAAATGTATTACTAATTGATAATAATCTAAGAAAAACTTCCGACAAGATTTCTTATTTACTACGTAGGTGGTATTATGTGCCTCAATTTTGAAATGGATTGATAGCTAAAAGTGGAAGGCTTCCTAGAAAGAGGAAAAGAGCATACCTGCCAGCCCAGCACAGGCCGAAGAAAAAACTATCACTGGTGGTGCCTGATAAAGTCAGAGTATTAATACTAACGTGAGGATAAATACATAAACAGAAAACAACAAATACCATAGTTACAAAGCAAGAAATAACCTAAAAACACCAGAAACAATAACACTATCAATGGGCAATTGGGCTGGACAAATTATATTGTCAACATTTAATAAAATTCAGAATAATGCAATCACAAGCATAACATGACCAACTTCTAATGGATAATGTTTTCTCAGCTTAAAAAAGAACTAGTTGATCGACTAGTAAAGGTTGGAACTAAAGGAATAACAGTTAAATAATGTTCAACATAACCTCAAACATCTAGGAAGTTTGGGTTTAAAAGGGGGGGGCAGGAGATGCACTGGGACCAATTATCATATACTTTACATACGGTGGCCTCATTGTGTAACCAATTTCTAGAGTGGAGTACTAATCTCCAGAAGAATCAAAAGATGAAAAAATGGAACTGACGGAGACCATTAACAAATATTTTTTTAAAAAAAATTAAAAGATAAATTTGATTAACAAAAGGTAGCATGGGAGTCTTGGGAAACCATTGGCTTGAATTCAAGTAGAAAATCAAATGATGGACAATTATACACATATATTAAATCATTTGACACATTCTAGTCACAATAATGTTTTTGTTTGTACACACAAGTTACCAAGCATATATTAGACATTTATTGCACATGTTTCCCTTTAGATCAAAATTGGCAACTCTTTGGTACAAAAAGAGGTAGGGGCATTACAATTCAGATGCTAAAGCTTATATACCAAAAGCTCTAAGTCTATACCAAAAAACACATTTTTAAGTCCATATACATGCAAGGGTTCCCAGCAGAAATTGGCACATTTGGCTTCTCCAGGCCACGAAAAGTAAAGACCAATAGTCTCACTCTAATTAGGGAGTACTATCTCATAATGAATAAGTTTATTGTTCATATAACTTACATTCTAAATTTTCTAGCCTAAAAATTGGCCCTGCAAGATACCTAGAAATAGAAAGATATTGTCAAACATGATACACAGAATTAAAAAACAGCAGATAGAGTGGGCCAAGAAGCAAGAAGGTAGTGAATTGGGTCCTTATTACACTATATCCCACTCTGTTCTTATCCATGGAGTGTCTACTCAGCATTGGCTAGCTAAGAAAGGTTTATGCATGGGGATCAAGTTATTACACTATATCCCACTCTCTTCTTATCCATGTAGTATAGAATCAATTGACAGAAATCTAAATAGCAATGCAAAAAGACTCTAAACTACACAATGCCACATCTGCATGGTAAAGACACAATACAGACTTTAATAATATATATATATATAAATAAAAAAAAAAATATATATATATATATATAGGGTTGAAATCCAATGAGAAGGATCTTAAAATGAGAAGGAACAGATGTGCATAAATTTTATACTAAATGTGCATTTTTTTTATATTGAATGTGCATAATTTTGTTTCAAACTGATAAAATTTTTTAATTTTCTGGAAAAAACGAAAATTATGCACATTTGTTCAAAAAATATGCACATCAAATTTGAGTCAAATTTTTTTTTTTGCACATTTAGTTCAAAAAATATGCACATTTAGTACAAATTATGCACAAAAAAATCCTTCTCATTCTTCTTATTTTAAGGAACTTCTCATTTGACCCTAAATCTAAATCTAATATATATATATATATATATATATATATATATATATATATATATATATATATATATATATATATATATATATATATATATATATATATTGAAAAAGAAAAAGAAATAAGTTCTGCATAAAAAATAAAAAAAAAAAAAAAAGTTAAGCAATCATGTCTGCTATGTACAGAGGCAGCATATCTGGGACATAGAGGTTCCTGGTCAAACCTATTAGTTGCTTAAAATGTGGATGCAGTGAGTAAAGTTGATGGTAGGTCCAAGCTTAATATGCAGGGCACTTTCTAGTTTCTTCATTCTAAAGCTATTTATCAGATGTTGAGAAGACCAATCACAAATCTTTTTTGCATGCCAAATGTGCAACTGACAAACATTTCTAGATGCAAATTTACCTTGTGCCTTAGTACCTTAACCAACAAATTATATTTAATCGACTACAAATAGGCTCAAGAACGTTAGTTCTGTTTGCAGCTTTGTGCCATCTATTCTTCAATGCAAGACACTATTTGCACCTCTTCTAAAAATGTGATTTCTCGCTGGAATCTAGGGTGTGATGTTGTACTGATTAGGGTTTTCAAGCAAAGATTATAGGAACAGCGAATGAAAATAGCAGTCAGAATAAAGCAAAAACACTACTTTGTCTTCCAGCTTGAATTTTATCTATTCCATATGGAGCGAATCATAAAGCTTAACACTAGAAGATTTCAGACCACTGGTAAGCATCTAAATTAGCGGTACTGCTCTACTGTGTTTACAATTGCAATTAGATGTGAGGCAAAGAGCTTATGAGAGAGTTTTTTGCTTAAAACCCTTCCATTTGGTTAAGCTTGAGGAGGCTAAAAAATTATTATACCACTATTGGTGCCAGTACTTAAATACTATTGAGTATTTGGCGATAAAAAGTCATTTAATCTCCATTCTTTATTTATCAGCATCTCTAAAACACTAACTCTCACACTAACAATTTTAAGATCAAAATTCTAGTGTATGATGTCTGCCTTCTCTTGGTCCAGCATATCACCATGTCAAATTTGACGGACAAAAAATTACACAATCTCCATGACAAACAAATGAAATAAATATGAAGCATCTAGTGATCATTCTTGAATTCTTGTACATTCAAGTAAATACATTGTCTTTGTATAAACTTGAAAAGCATCCAGACACAACATTAAGCAGCATCTAGTAATTAAACTTGAATTCTTTTAAATTCAAGAAAAGACATTGTCTTGGTAAAACTTGAAAAGCATCCAGATAAAACATAATGCAGCATCTAGTGATTATTCTTTTATTCTTATAAAAATAAAAATAAAAAATAAAAAAAGTAAGGTAAACTTACTCCGATAAGGAAATGAAACCACATTGGCCCTTTGACCCACTTACGAACAGTCGGCATAACTGCACGAAACAACACTCGTAAACTAAAGATCTTGCAACAAACATTCTCCTTATAAAATCAAAAAAGTTTAAGGAACATTTCATGACATTTTGAATTCACCTCACTAAGTGAAATGCAGATAGTAAAATTAGGTATTTACCAAAATTGAATGCATAAAATGCACTAGTAGTACCACCAACAGCAGAACCAATCTGCAATTATTCAAATATTTTATGCACAATTTTGAAATTTTCAATGAAATACAAAAATCAAGCTGAATGTTAATCCTATTCATTCAAAATGAAACTCAAAATAGAAATATATACCATAGAAAAGCTGTCTCTAACAAGCGGCGCAACTGTCCAACGACTAGTTTCCTGCAGTAACAACAAAATTGAAATAATAAGAAATCAAATAATTCAATCGTAGTTTGAAAGAATCGAATTTTGATTTTGAATATTGGGGAAATTTACCATTTGTTTAGAGAGAGGACCAGCGCAGTGAGGACATGTAATTGGAGTCACAACTTTGGAATTTGAAGAATTCTTAGCCATCTTCAAGCTTTAATGGACTGATTATCTGGTGGACGTGGTGGTTATGTTTGATGGGGGTGGTAGAACACGGCGGCGATATGAGAGAGAAAGTTAACCTATAATATGATCCAATGATGAGTTGATGGAAGAAATTATGTCTCCAGATCCACACAGTACGTGAGAGTGTGACTACAATCATACAGAACCATAACTGAATTAGAAAACGATCAAATTAATACACACAATGTTCAAAATTTAGGAGCATAATAAGCAAATTAATTCAAATATCAGGAGAATTAATATAAATATATCACTAATTAAGAAAATAATCTCATAAGTTATGAGCATCATTCTAATAAAATCGCAAAAATTGATGGAAAATTCGCATGAACGCAAAAAAAATCGTCAAATTCAAACAACTAATGATACATCAATACGATAGGAAATTTAAGACTCAAACATATTATTGGTTTTCATCAAGCGAAATAATGTTTATTACTTCTTTCTCAGCTTATTAAGACCATAAATAAAGCAAATTAATCAATTAATTCACAATGTAGAAGAATTCGTCCCAAAAATCAGTTTAGAAGCATAATAACCACATTGATTAAAAACTTAGGACCATTAATCCAAATAAATAAGATGAGAAAATATACAAATAAATTCACTTGTTTGGAGCATTATTAGTCTAAATAAATCGCAGAGTAGGAGCATAATTAAGCAAATTACTACGGATCAGAAGCATAATTCTAAATTCGTAAGCTAAAGTCATAATTAAGCAGTTTAATTTGCAGATTACAAGTGTTATTCCAAAACTATCGCAGCAAATCAACTCAAGAAAAATCGCATGATATGCAACAAAATTCGTCAAATCCAGACTCCGATTGATATTTCAATACAGAGAACAAATTTATTTCATAAATTGCGAATCCAATACCAGGAATTCGTCAGCCCGTGAAATCATTAGATATAGTTGAATGATTTGAACTAAAATGCACCAAAATTGTGCTACCATAATAATTCAGAATAAAAGAAATAAAACAAAATTGAGGATACCACTCATACCTGTGAATTGCGGATTGACCAAATTTCTAGAGAATTCAAGCAAATTGCCAACAAAAAAGCTTCAAATTAACGAACTGAGCACAAATTACTGAAATTAGATTCGACTATTCAACATTGAGGTAATTTAGGGTTTATCAAATAGTCTTTGAAGGAGATTTAGGAGAGTGGGAAAATTGGAGCAAATACGAGTAGGGGAGAAATTGTGAGACTACGGCGGTTTAAAACCGAACCAAAATACCAAATCACAAACCGAACCGAATTACAAATGTAGTACTTGTATTGAAGTGTAGTTTTTTTTTTTTTCTAATACTAGATTTGTGCATTTGCGATGCACGGTAGTAATAATTATTTTTCCGTAATTATTGTGATACAATAAAGAAAAAAATGAAGAACTCATGTGGAATAAAAAATGCAATGCATATTGAAAAATAATAATAATAATACCGTTACTCCATATTAAAACTACAATTGAAATAAAATATATATATTATTGTTGATTAGTTGTGTTGAAAATATTTAAAAATAGCATACATTATATTACATTAATAATGCATATTATTCCCAAATTGTTGTTGCGGGATCAAACACGATATTAGAAGAATTAGTAAGGGTTTGTTCTGATTGACTGAATTAAATTGAACTGAACTTATTGGAGCTTAACTAAACTAAATATTTTATGAGAGAAAAAAATTAAGATAAGAACTGAACTTATTAGAGCTGAACTGGACGGGAAATAAGCTAAAGAGAATAGACCCTAAGTGTGTGTAAATAATATATAATTCTAAATGTTAAAAAGAACGAAGAAAGTATACAAATTAAAATTTTAAATCATACATCGTGTGCATATAGATCTAATATCATATGAGTTATAAATGTACACACTTGATTTGACAACTTAACTTTAACAAAATGATGTCACTTAAAAAAATGAAATTAAAGAAAAATTAACTTATTTTGTTGAACTGAATTGAACTGAACTAAACTTATTCGAGCTGAATTGAACTGAATTGAATATTTTATGAGAAAAGGAAATTAAGAATTGAACTGAACTGAAGTGAAAATAAGCTAAAGAGAACAGGTCCTAAGAGTGTGTAATGCTTACTAAAGAATTGTAGACCATTAAAGTAAGAGATATCTTGTGTAGTCATGTGATTATTGCCTTCCTTCCAATTGTAGCAGATTTTGGAATTGATTCTAATCACCCGCCCTTTAGGGTTCTCTAACAAAAAAATAAATAAATCCACAAAAGATTCAGATTCCTCTGGTTTTGATTCAAATAATTGCATACCATACTTTGATGGCATACTACGAAGTAATTAACTTTTTTAGTATAGAGAACAAAGCCTAAAATTTTAAGGAAAATGCTATACATAGCCCTTAGGACTATATATAAGTATTAAATTTACACTTGAAAATCGTAAAAAGTTCAAAATTCATAAAAATATAAATACTAATTACACCACACCGATTTACTTGTGTTTTTGTCATGAATTTCTAATTTTATACAATTTTCAAGAATATTTTTAATGCTTATATATTAGCCCTTAAGGCTACATATAGCATTACCTAATATTTAAAAAGGTATGTGTATTATCCTATTGCATAGAAAAATTTATAAATATAAGTCCACCTCTTATTAGACGTATCACGTATGCTTTCATTATGTCAAAAAAACAGGTTAATTATAACTCCACCGACTATTACATGAAGATAATAAAAACTATTCTATTTTTTTAATATTAGACGTATGCACTACAAGAAAAATCACTTTTCGTAGCGATTGTACATTCGCTACAATATACAAGTATGTTTGTGAAATAACTAAGGATGTCGTATCATTTTTACAATCGCCATGGTTTTCCTATATAAAATCGATACGGAAAACATAATAATACATATCCACACTATTTTTACACATTTATATAATTTTAGAGAATTAAATGCTTTAGATTTTCTTCAACATGCATATAAAAGCAAAATTTAAGCATTACATAGAGAGAGTACTTACAATTATATACTCCGCATGTCACAACTATGATTACTAGGGATTTTTGAATTTTTTCAAAAGATTGTTTAATTGTATCGATTTTATATTACGAGTTGAAAATACAGGAAATTAAATAAATAATGTCTCAAATTTCAAACATAATATACATGGAATATATAATTAATACCTATACCTTGGGAGTAGTAGTCATACTTAATGTTTCAATGCTTAGAATTGAATTTTGTATTCCGTATACATTATGCACCAATAAAAAAAAAAAAAAAAAAAAAGCATTGTCAGCTAGATCCCAATCCACTGACGATTAATTTTATTCTAATGGTTCATACAATATTTTAGCCAATTAATTTTGTTAAGTGTATGACATGGAGATATATCAATCACTCAAAAACTTTCTATATAATGTTACTACGTACACGTTTAACTGTTTAAGCAGTCTTAGTTTACTTTTTTAAAAAGTAAAAGTCCAAACTCCAAATAAATGAAAAAAAATAAATCAAAAAAGGAATTAAAATGAATAAAATGTTAAGTACACTGTACACACTCAGGATTTAAGGCTCCACATATAAAAGAGGCGCATATTGTCATACATGTTGAAAAAAGGTAGATAATTTTTTCATAAATTTCAAGGTTACTGAATTGAATGAAGAGATGGAAAATCTTTGTCTCTGCAAAAAAATGGTACCCATTTCATATTTTTTCATAAAGATTATATCTTTAATCTTATTATTTGCATATTGTTCAAATGCTTCAAATACAATTGCGCAAGGTCAAGTCATAAAAGATGGAGAAACCCTTAAATCTGAAAATGGGTCATTTGAATTTGGGTTTTTTAGCCCTTCAAATTCATCATTAAGGTATGTTGGAATTTGGTATTCCAATATTTCAGTTGATTTTGTAGTTTGGGTTGCTAATAGAAACAATCCAATTAGCAATAAAAATGGTTCTGTAACACTTTCAAATGATGGGGTTTTGGCTGCTTTTGATGGGTTTGGGACTGTTGTTTGGTCTACTAATACTACAGCAATATCGAAAAATTATACTGGAATTTTGCATAATGATGGTAATTTTGAGATTAGGGGTAGTAATAATTATCCTGTGCCTAGTTTTTCTTGTTGGGAGAGTTTTGATCATCCTACTGATACATATTTGCCTGGTATGAGAGTACCTGTTAATCCGAATGTAGGCGAAAATCGGATTTTTACATCATGGAGGAGTGTGAATGATCCATCATCTGGGAATTTCTCAATGGGTGTGGATCCTAGAGCAGCACCACAGATTGTGATTTGGGAGGGATCGAATCGTCGTTGGAGAAGTGGTTATTGGAATGGACTGAGTTTTACTGGTGTGCCAAACATGGCTGCCTTTTATTACTATGGTTTTAAGCTTTCTAATGCTGATGCAGATGGGATAATGTATTTTACTTATTTACCTTTGGACCGCTCTAGTAAGTTCAAGTTTAGAGTATCATGGGATGGATATGAGAAGTCTATGACTTGGGCTGATGGTGGCAAAGAGTGGATTTTGATGCAGAAACAGCCTGGGAGTGAATGTGATGTGTTCAATAAGTGTGGGGTTAACGGTTATTGTAGGAACGCGACAGGTGATTTCATTTGTGGTTGCTTTCAAGGGTTTGCTCCTAAGTTTCCTGATCAATGGACCAATGGGAGTTGGTCTGGTGGGTGTGTTAGGGAGGCTCAATTGAAGTGTGAGATCAAGAATGGCAGTGTGATTGCTGAAGATGTATTTTTAGAGGTTGACAATGTGAAATTGCCTGATTTCGCGAATCTTTTGGAAGCAGATGATGAGGGGGATTGTGGAAAAGAATGCTTACAGAATTGTTCATGCAGGGCATATGCTTATGTAGGTGGAATTGGTTGTATGGTATGGAGTGGTAACTTGTCGGACATTCAGCAATTTAAAGGAGGAGGCAATAAACTGCACATTCGCGTAGCATCTTCTGCCTTGGGTAAGTTAATTTTTTTTTTTTTATGCAAGTCATTGAGAAGTTTTGGGCAAACCAGATTGGTAGTAAACAATATGCCTTCTTTGAGTGCTTGTTGTGCTTTAGTAGTGTATTACATTTTGATATGTACTATAGTTTGCATCATCTTTTGTATATTTGATTGTTTGATTCGATACTTGATTATTGTTGTTGTTAATTTCTTGTGTGTGGGGGAACATCTTGTATGTTAACAAGGACAAGTACCGTAGGATTGCTATCAATAGCCTGCTTCATTAGATACCATATTTCATATAACTACCACCCTCTGATCAATTTTGCATTGCTAATACTTATAACAGTCGCCTTCTGTTCTTTTGCAGTCCTACACTTGATATTATAACTTGCTTTAGCTTTTGGTAATCTTATCTGTCTTCTGAAATACAGGTAGCAAAGGCAAACTCTCTGGTCCTAAGATAGCAGCTATAGTAGTAAGCGGAGTGATATTGTTTGGCTTAGTACTTTTATGTTTGTGCAAATACCGGAAACAATTAAACGGTAAGACTTGTGGCTCTAGTAGTATTCTATTTGAGGTTTACGGTGATTTACAATTCCACATCTTATGATATGTTCTGTCTGCTATATATTGCAGCTAAAAGAGGGAATGATGCACTGACTATTGGATTGAGGAAAGGCCAAGTATCTTCCACAGATATCTCAGGATCACAGGAAATTATTGGAGAGGAAAATCTGGCAAATGCAAAAGATCTTCCACTGATCAATTACAATCTTGTTGCATCTGCTACAAATTTCTTCTGTGCAGAAAACAAGCTTGGAGAAGGTGGATTTGGTCCTGTTTACAAGGTAACTAATGCAAGATCAGACTTGTCATTTGTTTAGACTTAGGATATATCAATTCACATGAAATTAATCCCAGGGAGCCTCAATTTTCCTGTGAAGTGGCTATTGTTTGGTTGAGCACGGTAGAAATTCCTGTGAGAAGATTCACCTACCAGGAGGGAACTTGGTAAAAAACTTAAATGTCAGGAAATTCTACATAAGAGATTTCCGCCTCCCATGAACTTTGACTTTCCGTGTAAAATATGTTAATCAAACAACCACAAAAGAAGCATTTTTAGAACATACAGGGGTTTTTCTGTATTTGCACTCACACAAATATACTTGGATTCAGGGAACGTTACCTAGTGGACAAGAGATAGCAGTCAAGAAACTTTCAAGAAAGTCAGGGCAAGGCATGGCCGAATTTATGAATGAGATTATGCTGATTGCCAAATTACAGCACAGAAATCTTGTCAGAATATTAGGTTGCTGTGTACATGGGGATGAGAAAATGTTGATCTACGAATATATGCCTAATAAGAGCTTGGATGGATTGATTTTTGGTAGGGTGTTCTATCTTCTGTCTATTGTTGAATATATTTTATGTTGCAGTCTTCAGAAGAACATGCATTATTTGTATTCCCATGTTTTCTGAAGTGAAGCTCTATTTTTTCTTTTTTGTTTGTGTTACGATCACAGACCCCATGAATAAACAGCAATTAGACTGGAAGAAGCGTTTTACAATCATTGAAGGGATAGCAAGAGGATTGCTTTATCTTCATAGGGATGCAAGGTGTACAATTATTCACCGGGATTTAAAAGCCAGCAACATCCTTTTAGATCAGGAAATGAATCCAAAAATTTCAGACTTTGGTATGGCTAGAATTTTTGGAGGAAATCAAGATGAAGAAAATACAAATAGAATAGTTGGAACTTATGGCTATATGTCTCCAGAGTATGCAATGGAAGGTTTCTTCTCTGAGAGGTCTGATGTGTACAGTTTTGGGGTGTTGCTATTGGAGGTAGTTACAGGTCATCGCAGCACTAGATTTCGGTTCTCTGAACACACAAACCTCATTGAATATGTAAGTTTTCTTTTTCTAAACAAGTCTTGTATACAATATACACCTATTGAAAACAATATTTTGTGACTTCTAAACAACACCCCTCAATTCAAATTATTTTGGTCTGTATCTGTTGACAAGACCATAACAAGATTTTTTCATGTATTAATGCAGGCATGGAAATTATGGAGTGAAGGAAGAACAATGGAGCTCGTCGATTCTTCATTTGCAAGCTCATGTCCAAGTAATGAAGTTATAAGATGTGTACATATAGCGTTATTATGTGTGCAGGATTCTGCAGTTCACAGGCCAACTATGTCACAGGTGGTCGTATTGTTGGAAACTGACAGTCTTGCACTTTCTAATCCTAGGGAACCTACTCTTGCTTATTCTTCAAATCGCCGTTTTGTTGACATAGACATCCAAAAAGGTTATCAAGATATTGAGTCCTCAAATCATGTAACAGTCACCATGCTAGTTGGACGATAGGGATATTTGCAGCAAAGGTTCTCCCTTAAGCTCTCCCATTTGTCTAAACACAAGTTTTGTGTACATATTTTCACATATTTAGATTTTTTTGTTTTATTCTGAATAACAAGTATTCACTCAAATGTTCATTACTCTTTTTTTAACGAGGAACCTGGAAGTACTCTGTTGGAGAAGAACAAAGTCAGGCTTGTAGCATTCTTGGTTATCTTACTGATCATGATTGCCTTTCAGGAGTACAATTTGTTCTTTCCTCTAGTCTCTTACCGCTTATTAACATGTTTTTAGACGATTCAGTATGAATGAGTGGTAATCAAATATCTGAATGTGGACTGCAAATGAATTCTGAAGTCCTTTTTTGTTATAGATGGAGCCAGAGGTTTTTATATCCTTAGAGATACATCTCTTGTCTCATGTTCTGATTTTGACCATATCTGATTCCACTTGTTGGTTGATGAACTTTGAAAGTTCTCTTTCCATTTTGTATTACAGAAATTGTAGAAAGTTAAAATTGACGTTTGAGGCTTCTCTTATCTCTTGTGGTGAACCTTTTTGACCCGACAATGAAATATTATTGTATTGTATGAGTTGAAGACTTGATCATATACGTTTTATCCAAGCAACATCCTGTACATATCAATATATCATGTACCATTCTACCACCTTTCTTCTGTCAAAGTCATATTGTTGATTTATCAGTCCCTTCTGATTTCTCTAATTTTCGATGTTGGAAGTTTCATGTGATTTTAGTTGAACGGTATTAGATAACTCAGAAATCCTAATCGCAAACTACTTTTAATTAGAAACAAAAATTCATCAGGGTTTTCATAATTCTAGATTTTAGGCTCTTTATTTTCAAAGTTCAACTCTCCTTTTGTTACGTTATCTGTTATGCAATTTTTCAGCTTATTACTTTCTGTTCTTGTATATTTAGCCATGCTGAATGAATAGCAAAGCTTGCACTTTATCTGTCTTCATGATCTTCAGCTATATGACAGATTCTGAGGCTCCGAGCTGTCAAACCAAACAAACTGAGTAGTATTATGATCTTTTGGAGGTTTGCACAAAACCTTATTTGGTCACTTGCCAAGTTTTCTCAATCTGCAGCAACTTTTATGTGTTAAAATGTGGAGAAGTAACAGCGTGTCTATTCTTTTACTAATCATGATCATCTTGGTTTTTACTTACAGCCAATAGTAGAATGTATTAGTTTATTACCAAGATTTAGTCTACAACTAAATTCTAAATGTTTCAGTAACAAGTTTTCTTAGGCAACAATAAGTTTCAGTCAGGAAGTTATATACTTATATGTCGCCTTATCACAGATGGATGCGAGCTAAGAACAAATGTTGGTAAATAGCTAACAAATGTTGGCTTGTTGGGATCTCATGTTATGTGTGCCAAGGGCGCTAAATAAGCTATCTATTCGTTAAGACAAGAATGTCCAAACTCTCAACTTGATCATATAGTCATAGTTTTGCCTACTTCTAGTTTGGCTTCATTGAAGTTATTATGTAAAACACTATTGATCTTGGCCAAAAATGCAAGAAATTTATGTCATAATCTGACAATAGACTAGTCTCAAGTGTAAGAATAAACTGATAGTTCATAATAAAGACCTTGGAGTTTTCCATCAGTGAAAAGTTTTCTATGAATTATTTCAGCAGTGTGAATGCTACAACTACAAGGATGATACCGCGTGCTACTTGTTACATGTCACGCAGATGAAATCATGTAAGCTATTTACGTATTTCTTAATTCGATTTACTATGTAAATCAGTTTAACTGTCCTGTTCTCTGGACCAAACTGGTGCAATCAAAATCAGATGTTAAAGGACTAACGCGTCTAACAATTGACTGAATATTCTATTTGGCTTGTGTTTGCTGATACTAAACATAATAGCTATTCAGTGATTTCAGCTTGAATGACTCATGCACATCTATTTGCATACGTAGTACTCATTTTTTTAGGTACTACGTATATCAAATAGAGAAAATGAAAGATAAATAAAAATCGAACCCTTAACCTTTTAATGGGACGATGCTATTGAATATTGATTGTCAAACCAAATAAACAAGAACAAAAACAAAAAAAAAAGGGTTGTTTAAGAGAGTTTGACATTGTCAAATTCTTAAACTTTTTTGGCAACTCTGAGAAAGCAGCCCAGAGAACTTAAGTTGTTCATAAAGTGGTTCAAAAGCAAGCCACTTTCTTATTTTAGAAGCTTTAAGATTTCTTTTTTGTTTGTTTATTCTGTTAGCTTCATGGAAATTACCAGTGACCAAACTTCTTTTGTGCTTCTTTACTAGTACCTCAAAAAGTTAGTGTCATAAAGTATGTGTTGTTGGTGCCTAAATTTTTTAGTGGCATACATGACTAATCCTCGTTAAATTTTAATATAAAACGAATGTATTGTATAAACTAGATTAAAGAAACACTTCCGTGATCAAGTTAAAAATCACTTACATAGAATCAAAAGCGATCACCTCTATGACTAAAATGTCACCCGTATATTGTATGAAAGACATAACAGTCTAACTCGTGCATTTACTTAAAATTTCTAATTTTTTGAATTAGTGATCACAAAGTTAGGCCTTTTTGAACTTTAGAAATGCTGTGAGACATATATTTAGAGGATCACGAAGCTAGAAATGATCTAAGTACTAGTCGGTCAAAAGCAAATCCAACTATTCACATTAATTTTCTTATGATTTATGAACACAGGTCACATGCCTAAGTTGACGACCATTGAATTTTCAGTTTTTCTGCCCCCTTCCAATAATATCAGTGGGATTTTATTAACTGTATTTATTTTTTATACACTGAAATTTTGTGGAAAATAGATAAAACTATTGACTTATTCTGTATATGTACAATAAAATGGTCAAACATAGAAAACGAGTCTTTGTAGAACGACGGGAGTAGGACACCAATGGTGTATTCTATTAAACTTAATTTGTTGTAATTTAGTATTTTTTTCCTTGAGTTCCAGACTTCCATCCAATAATCTAATGCCTAATAACATGTAGTTTTGACCATCAATTGATTACTACTCGTAACTCCGTTAATTTTAGTTACATTGAATTTTTTATGTCTCACAAATATTATCCTTTTGTTGCCACTAAAAATTAACGGAGATAGTATAAAAACATACGAAGTATTTTACAAAGGTATAACAGTATCCTAGTATATAAATCTTTGTACATTGAGAATTTTCAATCAAAATTAATAAATTAATTTTTAAAAATTGACCTTATTCGTGAAAGCAATTATGTACCTCGTTTTTTCATTGGAGTAACCCTAAATTTGTCCAAGTTTCCCCATTTCCATCTCATTCGAGTACCCCTATTACTCAATTTATTACATTATATGTTTAATTAGTGATCACCACACCATATGACTAGCCACATATAAAAATTTGTGATTTTCGTATGTAATATTCTTTTTTTTTTTTTGGCATTCTTCATGAACTTATTGTAACTTATTAATTATCTAAACATATTATCTTTGGAATTATATTATGTTAAGAATATAGGAAAAGATATCACACTAATATATTATCTTATTTCCTAACATATTATTAATGAATATATTATACAAAGAATGAACTTATTTTTTAGCTTGGCTTAGGTCATGTTTATAAACTATACTTAGATAAACAACTATAATCTACACACAGACTTGGCATCAACTCGCTTTTGTGATTAGCTTAATAGTTTAACTGGTAAGTGCTTTTGTGAAATGGAGCTTTAGGCCTAATCTCAATACAGTAGTGATTTACATCATTTGACACTTTGACATGTAACCTAACTTTTATAAATTAAGTTTGTTATAAAAAAAAATGTTCGATATATATGCTTTTTATCCAACGACTTAGGGCCTGTTCATATTTACTGAACTGAGCTGAACTGAATTGAATTGAACTGATTGGAGCTGAACTGAACTGAACTGAACTGGATTGATTGGAACTGAACTGAACTGAACTAAGCTGAAATGAATATTTTATGAGAGAGGGAAATTAAGAGCTGAACTGAACTGAACTGGACTGAACTGATTGGAGCTGAACTGAACTGAACTGAACTGAACTAAGCTGAAATGAATATTTTATGAGAGAGGGAAATTAAGAGCTGAACTGAACTGAACTGAAATGAAAATAAGTAAATATGAACAGACCCTTAGTAAAACATATTATATTAACTTGAGATAGCTGATCCCTTAGCTAATCAACAAATTAATTTCAAATGTATAACACCATATATGAAGTGGGAAAAAAAAAGAAAAAAGAAAAAAGAAAAAGAGAAAAAAAAAAAAAAAAAAAAAAAAAACCTAAGACACAAAATTCTCATCTAAAACCATTAAATATCATCATCAATAGGTCAAGGTAATCACACTTAAAATTCAATTAGTTGCAGCTACTTCTTCAATAAACTACCAAATTATTCAAATCTTGGTTATTATCAAAGGTGTTAGTGGTGGTAGCTTGTTGACCCAAAGAATATAATTTGAAAATGTTTCATTTAAAATTAGTCCACCAAAATACATACATGACCAAGTAATATAGAACTGTCGGACCAAAATACATCCACACCAAATTTCTGTGATACATCATACAAATAATTAATCAATCCTTTTCTTGTAAGATTTTGTTTAATAATTAGTGATTAAGATAGGTAGTGGTATGTTGTGCAACCACGATGTTTGTAAACAAGCTATACATTACCAAAATCACGGCACTTGTACAAGTGTACAACAATATAACTATAGATGTATACATTTACAATTCCAAATACTAGTATCAAGTTATTGTTGTTAGTCATCCTATTTTGAAGCTTGTTGTTATATATTTATGTTTGATTTTTGTGAATTATTATGATTAAAACAAGAAAAATTAATAGTTGCTTTATTCAAATTTAGTGAGCTCATTTTTGGACACATAGATTTAGAATGTGGTTACCTTATTAATAATAAAGGATATGTAGCAAAAGATATAAAGATAATTTTTTATTTAAAGTAAAGGAGATGAAAGATGGCCGAGCAAAAGGTAGAGGAGAGGCTAAACTCTTTAATAGACCTGGTTCACACTAATTTATTGTGGACCACTTATAATAGAGATACTATGATCACTTTATTAATTAAAAAAAAAAGGTCACTATGTTAAAATAATGATCATTATGTTAAAATAAAAATGATTGTTTTTATAAAGGTCATAAGCGATAAAAAATTTTAAATGAAAATTTTAAAATACGGGTCAATATAAATAATATAGGTCAGTAGGTTAAAATTAGGATCATAACATCATACTTCAGGTTTTGCAACAATACTAAAAATAACACATATTTTATTTAAGGTTACTATGTTAAAATTAAGGTTACTATATTTAATATTAGGGTCACTATGTTCAATACAAAACCAGTTACGCACATGTGTAACTTCGGGTCCACAATAATATTATTGTGAACCAGGTTCATATAAGTTTTTTTTGAGAGGAGAGAGGCAAAATAGTACGGAGTATAGAGTAATGGATTATTACCCAAAAAAAAAATATTGACCTACTAATTTGGGACATGAAAAATAGAAAAGAAAAG